ATTGTTTGCTGTCAAATCCTTCCTCGTTCACACCAACCGTCACACTGACTCGTTCGTGTACGAATTGCTGTTAGCGTAAAAGAGATGTTGTTCGCAGTAATCTCAGTTTAGATGTTCTTTGTCTGATGTCTCTTTGAAGGTTAATTCTAACTTACAGGTGGCTCTCTGTTTGTCCCTTAAAAATGTCGTTTCATGTGCCAATATTGATTTTATAAAACAAATAACACAATAAAGTATTTCCTTTTGAACACAATCGTCGGTTTGAATCATGCGGATGTTGGAATTCACGCGAATGCTTGTTTTGACGGCATTTCCTTGGAAATTATTTCAATCGGTGATTTTATCGTCGAGATTTCTTCAGCTTCCTTTCTTCTGATGATATTAACTGCGTGAATGATGACGTTATTTCAACTTTGAATGAGTCAATTTTCCCATGATCTGACGGTGACCTACCTCAACGAATTCGGATTATCAGGAAAATGATATCTAAACTATAAAAAATGTTGAATAAATGTGGCGCCGAAAGCCACGATGTTATTTAGTTTTCAGCTAACCTTGCACGAATAACGACTGAACAATTTGTTTCCATACATTATTTCATCGCGAGTAGTTTGAAATTTTCGTTAATAAAAAATCAAAAGAAAAAATGTATCAACTTCGAGAGTTCATCGTAACTTGCTTCATTTTTCTTCTTTTAGCAGGTATTTATCGGAATACGAAGGAAAATTAACATTTTTTTGATTATACTCATTAATTCGAATTTCCAATCAGGAAATAGTATCGGTGATACGAGCGTATATGGGCCAGTTCAAAATATTCAATATAGTGAACCAAAACGGTCGAATACAAATGCAGTGTGCGGCATTAAGATAAATGATACATTCTACGATTGCGGTGTTCAAACAATGTGCGAATTTGCTGAACGATGTTACATTCAAGAAATATCCGTTAAACTTTCTGTCGATTTGGATAAGAAGGCGTTTCGAATTCAGTATTTAGATTAAATTGATTCACATCTTAGCGTTGTTTAGATTCCAAGTGATCATTGATCAATACACTGGTATATTAATGTTACTGATTTCGTCGAATAGTTTTTTCCTCATACTACTACTTTCAATTTTTCAAACCAATTTTGTTATCATCATTTTGTGCGAGAGAGTCATTTAAAATGATGTTTTTTCCGACAATATATTTTATAATGATCACAACATTTTTCACGCAAACGATTCAACTCCACCGGAAATTTATATTGGATACGATGGAATGTGAAATGAATAAATATGAAATTGTTCTTACAAAAATTAATTGCTGTACATTTTCTTTGGGATTGATAAACAAACGTTCTGTTTAAACCAGAGTGTGTATTGATCAAAATAAATAGCTGTAGCTCAATCTTGCGTGAAAGCAACCAAATTTCCTCTTGGCTCAAAACTTGAGTCAAAACTATTCAGCAAAACTTACATTCTGGTTCTAATGAAAAAAATACGCCATTTCTCTGCATTGCAAAAATGTCCAATGACTCATGCGGACAGGCTTTGTTATGCACTAAATCCATCACGCTGAATAAATTCATGCGATAAATGTGATGCGCTTGCTTTGCGCTGAATGAGGTATGTTGCTCTTCACTACCGCTTAGCGATGCGTTCACTGCAAAGCATGAACGTTCATGCGTGAACAACTGAAGAGCAACAGACTTCGTTCACCGCAAAGCAAGCGCATCACATTTATCGCATACGTCTATCGCATGAATTTATTCAGCGTGATGGATTTAGCGCATAACAAATCCTGCATGCGGAAGTGGAAGTGAGGATTCAACAATTTACAGATCGTAATTCAAGCCTTTCGTAGCCGCATCCGTATTTTTGACAAAAAAATATAAATTCAATCGTTAATAAGTAATTCCGTTGAATATGATATAAATACACCACAGGTGATATCAATACTCTTTGGTTTCAAAATAGGAATGCTAGCGAGACTGGTTGAAATATACATAGGGAAGGATTTATCAATATTTTGTAACAATTAAAAGATCTTGGTTTTATTAGAGGCCTTCTCCACTCTTTTTCCAAGCCAAAAAATGTGCGAAACAGTAATGTACCTACATATAATGATTAAACGTAAATAAATGAAAAATAGTCAGCGCAATATTTGTAAAATGCATAGTTTTATTGATGGTCAAAAATTCAGCGGTTCATTGACCAAACAAAACCATTATTTGTTTCTGATAAGAAATGAGTTAAATTCGTAGAACGTGATATATTTTGGTCATGTGCGTCAAAAATTCATTGCGAAAAGATTGCAATTTTGTTTCAACGCTTTGGTTTCAATTTTTTTGTTTTTTTTTCATTTTTTTACTCTTAAAAATATTCGAAAAAATTGATTTGAATCCCACAATTTTTTGGAACCATTCTTGATTCGAAAAAAGGGGTTTTGTGGAAAATAGGTTTTTTGACCAAAATTTGAGTTGTTCCATTTTAAAACAGTTCTTCGACAGCCGATTGCTCAAAAAAATTGTTCCTAGATAAGAAAAGTAAAAATAATAAATTAATCTACATAAAATCTACAATTGAATCGCCCTACCCAAGTCATTTCGGCAAATCTTCCAAGAATTGAATATTCATCTTAATTTCTTCCCCTGTGGAATGGTGTTTTTTTATCACCTATTTGTTCAATTAAATAAATTCAACCGGTTTCATGACTTATTTCCTTAATAACGTTTCAGGTTGTGGAAGCAATCCCATCTCTTACACTATCATCACTGGTTCCGTCAAAAATGTGCTATATTATGAAACCGTGAATCTTTGCGCTATCGCAGTGAATTGCTCTAGAACTGTAACGAATTGTGATTCAAATAACAATAACATCTACCACCTATCATATAATGCACACATGTGCGAATTTGCAGAGAGGTGTAAAATTCAGGAGCTGAGCGTTGCACTGACGATAAAAAATTCACTCGCATACAATCATCAATTCAACTACGCCGTTGAGTCCATTTCTTTTGCAAACACAGGAGCAATGTTTCGCTCTGGAACCACATGACCGCAGAAACGGCAAACAGCAACAGCTCCATGCAAACTCTTATTGACAACAAATTGCCAGAACTACGCTTTTTATAGTGGATTCGATTTGTATACAAAGTTAAAGTCTGCTATCTATCTGCTCAAATCGTCCACCATCCCTTTTCAAATTGTAAATCACTTTGTATTTGGTTTATAACTGGGGCCCGTTGCACCGTACAGTTACAATAATTGTAAACTTGTAAATTGTAAAATTGACTTACAATTTTACAGGTGCCTGTAAATCTGATTTACAAGTTTACAATTCCCTGTAAAATTGGTTTACAAGTTTACAAAAACTTGTAAGATTGATTTACAATTTTATAGAGAATTGTAAAACTGATTTACAAATCTACAATTTCTTGTAAAACGCTAGTTCTAAAGCATTTGCAATGAAAAATAGTTTTTACTTGATACAATTCTTTTTATAAAGTCAATTCGTGAGGCAAAAGTGAAAATATTCATTTAAATATTATGAAATAATTTAAATTGTATATAAAAAAAATAAATATTGTGATTTTTATTTCTTTGAAGGGTTTTCCCCACAGATGGCAGTGTGAAGAATAAATCTGATTTATAGAGTGCCATCTGTGGGGAAAACCCTTCAAAAAAAATTCGCAATATTTGTTTTTTATATACAATTTAAATTATTTTATAATATTTGAATGAATAATTTCACTTTTGCCCCACGAATCGACTTTATAAAAAGAATTTTATCAAGTAAAAACTATTTTTCATTGCAAATGCTTTAAAACTAGCGTTTTACAAGAAATTGTAGATTTGTAAATCAGTTTTACAATTCTCTGTAAAATTGTAAATCAATCTTACAAGTTTTTGTAAACTTGTAAACCAATTTTACAGGGAATTGTAAACTTGTAAATCAGATTTACAGGCACCTGTAAAATTGTAAATCAATTTCACAATTTACAAGTTTACAATTATTGTAGCTGTACGGTGCAACAGGCCCCTGATATCTTATAAACCGAATGTTCTTATATCCAATATGAAACCAAAATTGTGAATAAAATAACAGAAAAATCTGTCTAAATAATTCTAGTTTTAAAACGGTGTGTTTCATTTTATCTGCTTTGGATCCCGAACATTTGAGGAAAAAAACAAAAACAAAATAATATTATTGTGTTTAAAAGCAAATGAGAAATTATTGGGTTTCGTTATAATTTATCGCATGAAAATTGAAATACTTGATTTAGTTTACTCCTTTGTTCAGGTGTGTTTATTTTGGAATATGATTGCTATTTTCATACCACACAGTTTAATAGTTTATTTGGATTTTCGTTCATTTGAAACTGGTATAGCGGCCATCAAGCCTCAGGCAACATTGAAAATTGCAAACAACGCAAGAGTTGATTGCAAAATTGGTTGAAAGAAAGTACGATTCGGTTGATAAAAGTCTGTGCAATGTCATCTACTAGATGATCATAGTGGGCTCGAAAAATATAGAAAGTGAGTATGTTGTGAACAGCAACAAAATCGCTGATAAAATACAATGGAATCTACAGAAATAAATCAATGTGAAATGCTGATAAAGTATTACCGCTTTGGCAGTTTGATGTTAGACTAGACTTGAGACTAGATGCGATATAAAACGTTTAATAGATCTGTTGGACATATTCGAAGCCCGAAGCGATTGAGAATAATTTTTCAAATAAAAATGCTGCAGTATTGATGTATCAGATTTTAAATTACTGTATCGCCTTTCTAAAACAAAAACTTTTGGAGTATTCCAGTAATAACAAGGTAGCATTTACATTTCAGAACATGATAATTGTCTGTTGCTAATGTAATTCAGTGAAACTGAATTGTTCACAGAAATCACCTAACGAATAATTTGATTGATTTATTTATTTTTCTGATGCCAATTTCTTCAGCAAATATTTTATCAATACCATCTGTTTATCTCTTATCTTTTGAATAGAATGAAACTGTAAATCTTTCGAAGCCAACTGTTACGATCGACCACAAAATATCATCAAAGGGGAGAAAGTCAACAACTTAACGGTTCACCATTCGATTCGTCCGAAAATAAAACCGCGATTGGTATATGGGTTGTTTCTGGAAATTAATTTGATTGTTTGAACTGTAGCCGCAAAAGTTCAATTATTCAATGATAAGGCATTTAATGTAGATTAAATGAATTGGCAACGAATGACGTTGGTCGATCTTATGACTTGTATATAATTATGTAAGATTGTCAATGTGAACAATAAGGCTGGTTGTTTCTCAATTGCAAGATCAATCGCATAAATCGCATTTTGAACTTGAAAACTGACATCGATTCGGTGCATTTGAATCGTGCTGGAAAGTGAGAACATAAAAAAAATCGTGATTCTACGCAAAAACTGAATGCTTGTCATTGATCAAGGCGTTAGATGCTGCAAAACTCATATGTTAAATGCGATTGTGTTTTTTTTTTCTTGTTTGTTGATTTGCATATGACAATGCAAACGAAGAGCGAAAAAAAAACTGGCCGCAAAATCAGTTCCATTCGAAAACCAAAACACAAGTACGTAATGCTGTGTGAATCGTTGTAAAAGTGCGTACGTGTGCGCTATGTGCACGCTATCACTGAACCGCTCTGTCGCAAACCCATTCAAACGGACGCATACAACGATGAAACGGAGCGCGCACGACACGGTCACACGCATACATACATACATACACATAGCGAGAGTAACCGAGTGTGTTTGATTACGTATTGATATGTTTTTCATTTGACATTGAAAGGCCGCAAAATTTCTATACTCTACGGTTTGGCAGGCTAAAACGACGTTGCCAGAATAAAATTGAGTGTCATAAGTGGCAAACGCGCGCCCATCGAGTATTTTTCGAAATTCATTTCCAGGTGAGTTAAATCCATTGGATTTTTCCATCATTTTTATCCCAACTCGAATGTGTTACATATTATTATCATCAAATTTTTCGAGTACTGTCATTGTAGTACTACTACGATGTGACAAGTCAGATGTGTTTTAGTTTTGTTGTGCAACAATTTAAATTTCAATTTGGTGTTTCGTTTTTCTTATTGCGATCCGGGGCGAACAAAAAAAAAACATGAACACAGGCATCAAGCGAAAAGGATCAATTTGTTTTGTGGTGAAAAATGGCAGCACTTCCCCCATTGACACAAGAGCCAGCATTCCAAAAATTGCAACACTGGTTCAATGCAAACGGCAAAAATTTGGATATTAAAGCTCTTTTTGAGAGTGATCCAGCTCGTTTTGAGAAATTCAGGTGAGTTTTTCTCTCTCCAGAGGTCAAATAGTCATTCGAACCGTATGATGAAATGGATGACATTTTTCGAGCATTCAATTGCGAAATTCCAAATCGAAGCTAATTTTCTTTTGCATTGATTACAATTTCACTTTTCCAAATCAATAGCTTGAAACTCAATACACCAGCCGATGGTGAAATTTTGATCGATTATTCAAAGAATCGCATCAATTCCGAAGTGTTGGCCCTTCTGTTTGACTTGGTGAAAGCACGTAAAATCACAGAGGCTCGCACCGCTGAATTCTCCGGCCAACACATTAACATCACGGAGGATCGTGCCGTTTTGCACACCGCACTGAGAAATCGCTCAAGCAATCCAGTATTGGTCGATGGCAAAGATGTAATGCCCGACGTTCGTGCCGTGCTCCAGCACATGAAAGAATTCACTAACGAGGTTTTGTCTGGCGCCTGGAAAGGTTACACGGGCAAAAAAATCACCGATGTTGTTAACATCGGAATCGGTGGCTCCGATTTGGGCCCACTTATGGTGACTGAAGCATTGAAACCATATTCAAAAGGATTGACACTGCACTTTGTGTCAAACATTGACGGTACCCATATGGCGGAAACATTGAAAAAAGTTAGCCCAGAAACGACACTCTTCATCATCGCATCAAAAACATACACCACTCAGGAAACCATCACAAATGCCACCTCAGCCAAAACTTGGCTCTTGGAACATGCCAAAGATGTAAGTGAAATGGATGGAATTTTTGATTGGAATCGATGAAATTCGATTGGTCAGTGACGATGAAAGTCATTGAGTTTTTATCGATAGGGGAAATGACATTCGAATAATTACTATGACATTTATGCTAATTATTGTGTAATTTTTTTTTCTGTTGTTGCAGCCAAGCGCTGTTGCCAAGCACTTTGTTGCTTTGTCGACGAACAAAGAAAAGGTCGAAGCTTTTGGAATCGACTCAAAGAACATGTTCGGTTTCTGGGATTGGGTCGGTGGACGCTATTCATTGTGGTCAGCTATCGGTCTTTCGATCTCATTAGCTATCGGTTTTGAAAACTTTGAAAAGCTCTTGGACGGCGCCTACTATATGGATCAACACTTTATCAACACACCACTCGAACAAAATGCACCAGTCATTTTGGCATTGCTTGGCATTTGGTACTCAAATTTCTATGGTGCCGAAACACACGCTCTCCTCCCATACGATCAATATTTGCATCGCTTTGCCGCCTACTTCCAACAAGGTGACATGGAGAGCAACGGTAAGGGTGTCACTAAATCTGGCCAACGTGTCGATTTCAACACCGGACCAATTGTTTGGGGCGAACCAGGCACAAACGGACAACACGCTTTCTATCAATTGATTCATCAAGTAAATTTGGATTTTCTTTTTCGATTTTTTTTCCGGTTTTTTCTACTATTTTTTGCCTTTTTTCAATTCTGCCTTTAGGAAGAAAATTTTAATTGAAAATTGTATGTATTCACAAAAAAAATTGATCCCAAATTTATCTCCTCTTCCAAATAAAAAAACAAAACTAGGGAACTCGTTTGATTCCATGCGATTTCATTGCGCCAGCCGTTACACAAAACCCCATTGCCGGTGGCATTCATCACAAGATTTTGTTGGCCAATTTCTTGGCACAAACCGAAGCTCTGATGGCCGGTAAAACGGAAGCACAAGCCAAAGCCGAATTGGAAAAGTCTGGTTTGAGCGGTGAAAAACTGGCCGCATTGTTGCCACACAAAGTATTCACTGGAAATCGGCCAACCAATTCCATTGTCGTCAAGAAATTGACACCATTCGTGTTGGGCTCATTGATTGGTAATTATGTTAATATATTAAATATGAATTCAACACTCTTTTTGGCAGAGAAAAAAAAAACGATTTGTTTTTGACGGGGAAATTTTCCTTTGGAAAAAAGAGTGTTGTGTTTATAAGAACATGCTTTTCTTCAATAAAAATGAAACGCATGACTAAACTCTGAATTGTATCCGAATTTCAGCAATGTACGAGCACAAGATCTTCGTCCAAGGTATTGTCTGGGACATTAACTCATTCGATCAATGGGGCGTTGAATTGGGCAAACAATTGGCCAAAGCCATCGAACCCGAATTAGCCACGGCCGATAAGGTTACATCACACGATTCCTCAACAAATGGTTTGATCAACTTTATCAAATCGAATTGGTAAACGGCAATGGTCAATACCAAAAAAAAAACAAGCAAATGAAGAGGAAGGACAGAGAAAAAGTCAGGCAGCCACAAAAATATTTTACACACAGGATCCCACACACAAACATGGCTAGAAAAGTTTGCTCATCAGAATTGTTTGCGAAGAAGAAAAAAAAATTAATCAGATATATTGTATTGTTAGCGTTGAATTGTTGTATCGATAGGATATATTTTGACAATGAAATTGCTTCACATCATCTACTCAGTCACTATATTCAATCCATTTTTTTGGAGAGAAACTTTTATGAAGAAAAAAAAACAATATATCTTCATAATAATGTTGTTGAAATCAAGAATGGTAAATTAATTTTGCTTGTGATTCAATTCAGTCAAGTAGTGGAAACTGCACTGTATGTTTATTTCCAAAGTTGTATGTTGTCTTTGTATTTGACGAAAGGATAAATAAAACTTATCTCTAAACATGTAGCAAATGAATGAAAAAAAAAAAACAAATTGAAAAACACCATTTTGTTTGCGTTTTGGATTTTTTTTTCTCATGTCGATTTATTTTGTGTGAAAGAAAAGAAAAAAAGTAATTGGCAAATTCGGAAAAATGCAAAATTTTATCTATAAATTAAAGAGAGAGAGAAAAAAAAATGGTATGTGTGGTTTGTTATCGTCGTCATCGTTGTCGTCACATTTAAATTGGCTTGATTTTGAAGTGAAGTCCAATGAGCGAGAAAACCAAGCACTTCAGATCTTGTACCAAATAGTAGAAACCACGTAGACCTTCTGGATCTTTGGATTGATTGACATCGACAAGCGAACCGGTTTTTGATGTGGTGAACGAAATGTGCTCGTCACCAATCACAATTTCCAATTCCTGAAATCAAATGCAACGAATAAAAAAGAGTTTATTTTTGATACTGTGAACCTAACCTCATTGTTTAATGTAAGTTGACAAAAAAATGGGCTTTGTTTTCATTGTTTGACCAATACACCACTCACCTGACGACCAACACGATCTGGTGGCGGCCACATTGAATCGTCCTCCTGCATAATTTCCGAATCGACAATAACCCGCTTCAGCTCTTCCATGACCGTGTGATGAACGTATGCCTCTTTCCGGATCATTGTATCATTTTTGTAGTTGGAATTGTTGGCATATCGCAATTTACCGTCCGGCCGAAATTCAAACTCCAAGAATTCGTGACCGAATTTACCTCTGTGCCCAACATAGTAACGCAAATAGAAATCCTCTGTTGCTTTTGCCATTGTTTTCTTCTTCTCTTTCTCGTTTGGCGTAAAATTCAAAACACACAAAATTAACTTTTCCAAAATTGTGGGTCCGCTACAACTTCGATTGCAGTGTTTGTTTTGTGCGAAACACCGATTTGACAATGATGCCGATATCGAACGAAGTGAGTCGATTAACAACACATTTGGAGATTAACAGCGCCGTCTGCTATTTGACACCACATCGATTTTCTCCGTAGCTCTCTGAATTCAATCGCTGACGACACACAACTCAGATGTAATTGAAAATATTTCGTAAATTGTACGAAATTATTTTAGAAAAAAAAATAATCGATTTTTATTTAAAGGCAATTATTTCTTAAACATAACTTTTCTATTTGCAATTATAACATTGAAAATGTCTTGTAGACACCAGACGGCAACGCACTCTGGTGCCATTTTTCATGTCTCACTCTCAGCGACATTGAAAATGATCAATGGACGACGCATAAGAGCGGCTCATTGCAAAAACGCACTGTCATTAAAGTCATTCATTGTCTATCTCGCTGCCTTTTTGCTTTGTGTATTCGCTTCCATTTTCTACGAGCCGAAACGACAGAAAGAAGAAGTAATATATACTACATACATAAAAAAAAATAAAAGTAAAAAAATATATATAAAAAGAAGAACGAAACGAATTTGGTTTGCGAACAACAAGACATACCAAATTTTTATTACACATTTCTCCATCCAGTTTCATACATCAATCAATTATTATATACATATTTCGTATTTGATTTTTTTCGTATTCTCACTCTGCTTTTCTCGCTAGTGACTAGTGTATACTTTGATTTTTTCCCTTCAATTCAACTTGATTTTTTTTCTATTTTTCTGTTCCGTTCTCCTAATTTCGTTCAACGAAACCAAGCCGAGAGTAAAGTTAACTTAGAAACAAGTAGAAAAAAAAAGTATAAGCTGTTCCCTTTCGATCGGTGTGTGTGTGTGTGTGTCGATTCGTTTTATTTTTTGTACGTGAAGTTCTTTCTTTTTTTTCCTCTCATTCTCTCTCACACACACGCTTGTTTAATTGAAACAGAAAGCAAGACGAGAAAAAAAAGAGAAATTGATTTTAGTTATTGTGTGTTGTTCAACACCACACAGAGTAAGTGAGAGAGAGAATAAAAAAAAAGTGTCGAATAAGAAAGAAAAAGTAAACTAACAGAAAAATAATAATAAATTTGTTGTGTTAATTTTAATGTTGATTCATTTACCGTTTGTCATCGCCATCACAACGTAGCGACATACCGAGGAAGCGTTTAAAAAAAGTACACATCGATAGACTCATCCCAAAACGACGACGAATCGAGTGTGGTTTTTTCTTTGTTACGAGAAGAGAAGAGCAACATCAGTCGTGAGCAGAACGTTGGTGTCGAGCTTTCGCAAATCACAACAGCAGTAACAGCAACAGTAGCAGCGATTACTTGAAGAAGAAACCAACGAGACACGAAAACTCAACATAAAATCATTTCGGTGAAAACAGGGTTTTCGCTTTAATTTTCATCCCCCGTTCAATTCAAACACCATTTTTTTTTCGCGAGTTATCCGAACAGACACATTGATAGCAACGGTAAAAATTCACCACATTTCAGCAGCAGCAGCGCGATTTTTTCAGCGACAGGTTTTTATGTCCGATGTCTAGTGCTGAAGTCATTGAGAGTTCTGTTGATCCACCAGCCGCCAAAAAACGGAAGTTGCAAACCAATAACGCTTCCAACGCACCAGCAACAATGGCGAATAACAATGGATCGACTTCGCGCGAAACACCTGGTGAAATCGATGAAGGACTCTACTCGCGCCAATTGTACGTGCTCGGCCACGATGCCATGCGTCGCATGGCCAATTCGGACATTCTCATTTCCGGATTGGGCGGTTTAGGCGTGGAAATTGCCAAAAATGTTATACTCGGCGGTGTTAAATCAGTAACACTACATGACAAAGTGAGTGCAACCGTTGGCGATTTATCGTCACAATACTATTTAACCGAAGCAGATGAAGGGAATAATCGAGCCGAAGCGACCGCCAAACATTTGGCCGAACTCAATAGCTATGTACCGGTGCGTGTGAATACAAGCGATCTCACCGAAACATTTATCAAGCAATTCCGTGTGGTTGTACTAACGGAAACATCAAGTGCCGAACAGGATCGAATTGCAGCGATTACACATGCAAATAATATTGCATTGATCATTGGACAGACGCGTGGTTTGTTTGCGCAAATTTTCTGCGATTTTGGCGACAGTTTCACCGTTTACGATGAAAATGGTGCACAACCGGTATCGAACATGGTGGCCAGCATCACCAAAGATACGGACGGTATCGTTACATGTTTGGATGAAACGCGCCACGGTCTCGAAGATGGACAATATGTTACATTCTCAGAGGTAAGTCCAACAATTTAAAAATATTACAACAGCATATCACACGACGCCGAAGAAGAAGAAGAAATTATGAACAAAAATTAGGATGAAGAAGAAGAAGAACCGAAGCATAAGTAATTTATGTGTGAATATTTTATGTGGCTATACATTCCGAAAATTGAGATCGATCCCTCTTTTTTCCATAAATTTCTTTCATTTCTGTTCGAAATAATTTCCCAATGTCATTGAAATTGAAATATGTAATTGAAATGAAAGTGTCGTTGGTGTGTTGGTGTCTGTGTGTCTGTGTGTGCGCGTTTCCCATCAATTTTCATGTGGTCATCAAATTCCGATAAGAATTCAACCAATTTCATTATACACAGATACACGGTATGGATGATTCATGCCAGAGACGGAGTATGTTTGTTTGTTCTGTATGTGTGTTTGCGCCGAATTTTTTTTTCATGATTCCTCCTGTCCGCACAGGAGAAAAACAACGACCGACCGAACGAAATAAAAAAAAACCACAACAACAACAACTAATAACTCTGAGAGCAGAGCAGAGTGCGTTGAACGAATTCACAGAGATTCTATACACAGTTACACAGTGTATAGTTGATAGGGCATTTGAAATACGCATCGCTTTCATATTGTGTGCCATTTTGTCTTTTTCTGTAGCGCGCGCTTCGCATTCGCTGTATCTCGTTTTCGCCACCGTCGCTGCTCTTCGTCCGATTTTTGTCATCGCTCGCTCACTCACTCATCATCCATCACCAAGCAAACCGTCTTAATCTCGCGCTCAAAATTCCAAATTGTAATAAATAGCCGCCGCGCGCTACATACATTCACCTTTCCAATCACATTATATTGCAATTGAAGCGTTGCGATATTTTTTCTTCTTTTTTCATATACTTGATATACCTCATCAAAATCGTCGTCATCATTCTTCAATTCAGCATTGGCAATCACGACAATAACAACAAAAATATGAGAAGTAAAAACGAAGAAGAAAACAACAGCAGCAGCAACAACAACTTCAACGATTTGCGACACTCGTTCCAAATTTAGACGGAGCAATGTTCGCGCGCGCTGTTCAGAATCAATGCGCTCCATGCAAACAACTATTGCTGGCGCGCGCTAGCAAACACAACACAAATGAGTGTGTGTGTGTGTATTTTTTTCTTCTTCTTCATTTCTGACAAACCGACAAAAAATAGACCGTTTATGTGACACATTCGCCGTTCTGCTTCTCAAATTATGGCACATACACACATAGCGTTATTTTGTGCATTGATGATATTGCGAATATTTCGTGTTTTTTTTTTCAAACACACAAAATGTATCGGTTTGCCTTCTGTTCATCATATATAATCATAATAATTGTGCTAATGCTAAGCGCATACTTTTGTAAGGTTTCTTTTTTTTTCGTCGGCTTAAAATCGCGATGCGAATAGAATTTTTTTTGCCACATATCGTATTGTTGACTTGGTTTGTTTGCTGATTTTTTTTCTGCCAATTTGGTCTGAAAAATTTGACGGTTTTACCAAACCAAGACTTATTCCGTGAGTTAGAGCAATAAAAAAATTCGATAAAAGCGATTCTTCTATGACTTTATTCTTCTCTTCTTTGATTCGTTGAATGATATTTTTTTTTCATGTGAAAACAATGGAATGAGATGACTCACTGGCAATTATGTGTTTTCAATTCTTGTTACTCTTTTGTTACCATCGTTTCGAATAGGTGGAAGGAATGACAGAGTTGAATGGCCATGCTCCGATTAAAATTAAAGTGCTTGGTCCATACACGTTCAGCATTGGCGATACAACGACATTTGGCACGTACATTCGTGGTGGCATCGTGACCCAGGTGAAAATGCCGAAAATATTTTCGTTCAAAGCATTGGCCGATGCCAAAAAGGATCCATCGTATGTAATCACGGATTTTGCCAAATTCGAAACACCAAATCAATTGCATTTGGCTTTTGAGGCTTTGGACGAGTTTATGGTGCAGAATGGCCGTTTGCCGGCACCATGGTCCGAAAAGGATGCAAAAACATTCTTGAATTTGGCCACCATACAAAATGCTGACATCACCGTCGATGAGAAATTGTTAACCACATTCGCAAAGGTGAGCGCCGGTGAATTGTGTCCAGTGAATGCGGTCATCGGTGGTACCATTGCTCAAGAGGTGCTCAAAGCATGCTCCGGTAAATTCACACCCATTCAACAGTATTTGTACTTTGATGCCATCGAATGCTTGCCCGAAAATGAACTTACCGAAGACGATTGCAAACCGATCGGTTCACGATACGATAAACAAATCGCCGTGTTTGGCCAGCAATTCCAAGAGAAACTTGGCAATATGAAGTACTTTATTGTTGGTGCCGGCGCCATTGGTTGTGAACACTTGAAGAATTTCGCAATGGCTGGCATCGGTGGCGGTAGCAAAGGTGAAGTCATCATCACCGATATGGACCTCATCGAAAAATCAAATCTCAATCGTCAGTTCTTGTTCCGGCCACACAATGTTCAGCAATCGAAATCGCAAACCGCCGCCAAGGCCATTCGTGCAATGAACAAGGATATCAACATCATCGCACACGAGAATCGTGTCGGCCAAGAAACCGAAAACGTCTATAACGATGAATTCTTTGAGAAATTGGATGGCGTTGCCAACGCTCTGGACAATATGGATGCACGTATTTACATGGATCGGCGCTGCGTATTCTATCGCCGAATGCTCATCGATTCAGGCACCTTGGGCACAATGGGAAATGTTCAGGTGAGTTATCTCGTCTCGTCGCTTTGCTTTTTTTTGTCAAAACTGTATTCTGAATCTGGTTCATGTTACTTGCGAAAGAGTGTAATTTTCTTCTTTATCTAATTGAATTCGTCTGTGTCTGTGTCCATTCGATATAGGTTGTTGTTCCATTTGTCACCGAATCGTACAGTGCCACACAGGATCCACCCGAGAAAAGCATTCCGATTTGTACATTGAAGAATTTCCCTAATGCGATCGAGCACACATTGCAATGGGCACGTGACACATTTGAGGGTGCATTCAATAAAAACGCGGAAAATGCATCGCAATACATTTCCGATCCAACGTTCGTCGAGCGTGTTGTGAAACTGCCGGGCGTTCAACCACTTGAGATTTTGGAATCGGTTAAAGTAAGCAAAATATTCTCCAATTGAACCCATTTGAGTTCAGTGGACTAATGTTTTTTCCCCCTTTTTCACACCACTCATTCGTTACTGCGCTGTGTTTTCAGGTGGCTTTAATCGATGAAAAACCAAAAGACTTCGCCGACTGTGTGAAATGGGCACGTCATTACTGGCAAGAATGCTATTCGAATCAAATTCGTCAGTTGTTGTTCAATTTCCCGCCCGATCAAACTACATCCAGCGGTCAACCGTTCTGGTCCGGTCCAAAACGTTGCCCAAAACCATTGACATTCGATGTGAATGATCCAATGCATGTGGATTACGTCTACGCGGCCGCCAATTTGAAGGCACAATCGTATGGTTTGCCACAGGTGCGTGATCGTGCTACCGTTATTGAATTGGTGCAACAAATTGAAGTGCCCGAATTTACACCAAAATCCGGTGTTAATATTGCCGTCACCGATGCTGCCATGCAAGCCGAACATAATAATGGCGAAGGGCTAGACGAATCACGTGTCCAATCGATCATCACGCAATTATCGAATCTAGGCAAAATTGATTTCACAATTACACCACTAGAATTCGAAAAGGATGACGATAACAATTTGCATATGGATTTCATAGTGGCCTGCTCAAATCTTCGAGCCACCAACTACAGTATTCCAACCGCTGATCGTCACACATCGAAATTGATTGCTGGCAAAATTATTCCGGCCATCGCAACGGCCACATCCGTTGTGTCTGGTTTGGCATGCTTGGAAGTGTATAAACATGCACAAGGGTAAATACTATCTACTAAATAGTCTTATCGGATTTCATGTCGTTTTAAATTCATTCAGAATTTTTTTTTCATTCGCTGTTTCGTCTAAATAATTGCGTTCTCTCTTCCACACAGCTATAAATCCGTCGAACAATTCAAGAATTCGTTCTTCAATTTGGCATTGCCATTGATGACATTCTCGGAGCCCATCAGAGCCGCCAAACAGAAGTATTACGAAATCGAATGGACGGCCTGGGATCGTTTTGAGGTGCAAGGCGAACTAACATTGTCCGAATTCATCGATTACTTTAAAACTCAACACAAATTGGAGATCACAATGTTGTCACAAGGCGTGTCAATGTTGTATTCATTTTTCATGCCAAAAGCAAAATATCAAGAGCGCATGAATATGCCAATGTCAGAGGTTGTGAAAAAGGTTTCGAAACGAAAGATTGAGCCGCATGTGCGTGCGCTCGTCTTTGAAATTTGCTGCAATGACATTGACGGCGAAGACGTTGAGGTGCCCTATGTATGTTACACTCTTCCATAAAATCGACGGCGCCATCGTCGCACTCAACCCAATGAACGACCGATACGAACGAAACGGAAAAAATATGCACCGAATTAACATCCAGCAACAACACACAACCGAACATCAGCTGCAAATCAAACATCGAGGATTGAGTGAATTCTATATTATGTGGAGAGAAACGAGAAAGAATAAAACAACCATTTGAAAGAAGAAGAAAAAATGATGAAAACAATAAAAAAAAAAATTAAATAATATTTGTAGTTAAGTAAGAGAATGAGAGACGTAACACGATGATAAAATATTCTTAAGACCAGTTAAATTAGGGATCAGATTAAAGAAGATGATGAAAGAAAAAGAAGAAACGGAATCGCCACGCGATCTGAAGCATTTAATGCTCTTTTCCGTTCTTGTCTGTCAATAACACCGGGGTGTTAAAAACATGTGTGTGAGTCTCAATCAGCGATTTATTTTTATTTTCTTGGTTTTCTCTCTATCTCTGCAAATGTATACATTACTTTTCTTTTTTTGTTTCACTTCAATATTATGAACATAAGCAAGAAAATTGAGGGGAGATTTTTTTTTAACTTAAAACACCATCCCGCCCCAACACACAAACACACGCGCATCTAAATGCATTAAGTAAATAATCAATTTGTAAATGATAAGCATTTTTTTTTCCTCCTGTCATTTAATTAAAACAAAAACGAAGCAAAAACAAATAAAAACCACTACATTTGTCAATCTCTCTTTATCACCCACAAACTGTCTCCCTTATGGCGCTGCGTATTCTAATTATTTTCGAACATCAAACAAAATTGATCTATACACTGAGAGAACCAAATGCGAATAAAATTCAATAAAAAAAAACAGAATTTCTGTCAAAACGAATCTCATCGTGTTACTTAATCCTGGCCTCTTTCGTCTTTTAAAAGCATTCGACCTCGGCTATGAATAATGAAAATTTTTTCTTCTAAGTTTTTGTTTTTATTTGAATTCCTGTGTGTTTCAGAGGTCTTCGAATCATGACCAAAGTCTTAAATAAATGAACTTCTTGCTTCGAATAAAAACCTTTTTTGGAAATTCAGCCTTTGTTGAACTTACACGATGAAAATAAGAAATCATTCAGATCAACTCACTCAAGTCTTGAGAGTAATTCACATACGAATTTCTTCACTGAATTTTAAAATACCTGTGACAAACAAAACCAACATTATTTCCTTTAAATTTTTAATGCAATTGAGCTTTATAGAGCGATTTTTAGCTATTTTTTTGTCTACGTACGTGCAGCTACAGGATGAAGCCAGAGTTAAACGAGTGTACTAATTGAATTGATTAAGGAAAATTATATGATAGCTGGAAATGAATGCATCGTCAATAAAAACATTACTATTAAAAGCAGAAAAATGTTTGCATTTTTTTTTCTCGTCAAGGTAGAATCAGGAAAATCGGATTTTGAAATCGGCATTTCGAATTTGAGAAAATCGAATGGAAAAATGAGTAGAAGAAATTCGAAAATTGAACAATAAAATGAGAGAAAAAAAGAAGGAATTTTAAATATGTCAATTATCACCGAATTTAGCGCATTTCTTTCATAAAAAGCAAAACATACAGATATTTCGAAAAGAGAGTTAATAATGAATTTCAAAAAGGGTTTGTATGCGAAAAATCGGTGAAAAAATCTGCAATTTTATATTAAATCAATTTTATGCTCAGTTTTTTTTGACGATTTAATTTGAACATTCATTTGTTTTCCTTCAATTCAATTCAAACGCGCAAAATTGATAGATTATTATTCGTCGTCACTCGTTTTTCCACTTTTCAAAGATAAATATCGATAATTAGTTTGTTTTCGATTGATTGATTCCATGCGCTATGCTGTGCTACTGTGTGCACTCTAGTACCATTTTGAAGCAGTATGGAATGACGCATCAGAGCGGTTTATTCAAACAATTCAGACGATCAGTTTTACTTACATTTCTTACATTTAATTGATTCGGTTTTGATAATTCATTTTTCATCAAAAATGTTCACCAAAATTCAAATACTCTTTCTGCAATAATATTCTTTATATATCGCTTTTTCTTGAACGTATTTTTCATAGTTTTTCCTTCCATTGGATTTTTTTTTTCATTTTTTCTACGCCCAAATTGTGAAAAGAATAAATTTTAATTTTTTTCCCGAAGAATTTTTCAAAAAATCTAAATTCCATTTACATTTTAAAACACAAAGAAAAAAATCAACAATAAACCCAAAGAAATGCCGTTCAATTTAATATTAAAAAATTATTTTTTGTTTTTTATTTGATCATATGAGTTGAAATGTGTTTACACATAGATTTCAAGAGAAAGAAAAAAAATACAAGTGTTTTTTTGTGCCTGGATTAATGTGTCCCTGGCGATCGGTTGAAATCATATTTCATTAACTTTTATTTGATATGAAATGAATAATTTCCATCGGTTTCGGGTGAGTGAAAGAAAAAAACAAATAGCAAAGGAACAGTAAACGATTGAATGCGTTGATTGATTAAGCATTAGGATTCGAAAGCGTGTGTTAAATAAAATTTAATTTGGTTAGTTGACAGAATAATAATCCGTGAATTGCTTACTTCGAATTGCATTTTACATCTCTTGCTTATGGATTAATGACTATGACGACAAAATAGTTGTTGTTTGTGTGAGAGTTTTGGTGAACTTAATCGATGAAACAATTTGTATTTATTGACTGGACAAAATCAATAGGAAGCAAACAAAAATTTCATCGAAATCGCGCGGCTTTTGTGAAAAGAATAGAATGATGAGGTTATTTTCTTTATTTATTTTTTTCCCAAGTTTAATCATCATCTTGATCTTGAGTGCCGGGTTGTCGGGGTTTCGGTCCACCAGCTCTCTTAGCCATTATAATTTGATTCACTCGTAGTACGGTGGCGGCCGCTTCAACCGCATATTTAAGGCCCCAATGTTTTGTGATGTACAAATCGAATATCTTGTTTTTGGTGACATCAACGGTTGCTGGTGCTTGCGATTCGATGTCAACGCCGTGCGTGTAGTGGCCCATATTGTGTTCTGAGTACAATTTGTTGATGATTTCCGATCCATTGATGCCGCTGTTGTCGGCCAATGCTTTCGGGAATGTTTCGAGCGCAGCAGCAAATTTACGCACTGAATATTGCTCTAAACCAGGTAACAGATCTGCGTAGGCGCCCAATTTCTTTGCTAATTGGATTTCAACGGAACCAGCGCCTGGAACAATTCTGCAAAATGGAAACAGAATCGATTGAGAATTTTATTCGTTCTGGAGTAGAAAATTTTCTTTTTTTGGAATGAACGGTTTTTTTAAACCAGTTAATGGATTTTTTAATGAAAAAACTGGTGTTCGTCTTAACGAGTTTTTATGTGGTGAAGAAAAATCGATTATTTCTTCTAAAAATGAATTTTGTTTCCTTGAAAAACTGAAATTTTGTCATAAAAAAACCTATATTTCTCGGATGTCATTCAATTCATGTCATCTTACCTTCCGTCCTTGCTGAGTGCTTTGAAGGTGTTGACACCATCGTCGATAGCCCGTTCGATGTCGTCCATGTAATTCTCGGTAGCGCCACGAATGACAACGGTCGAGATGCGGCTGTCTTTGCCCTCATTACGGAATGCGACGATACCAGTATCTCCCAATTCCTCCACGGAAACAACGTCACAGTAGCCGAGCTCTTCGGCTGTAGGCGGTAAGAGGCGTGGCAAAACGGTTGCATTCACGGCTTTGCCCAATCGTCGCAAATCGAATTTTGAATTCAATCGTACGGCCATCAAACCGTATTTGTTGCAGTAATGCAAAGCCAAATCACCAAATTTCGCGCCAGCCACTATAACATTGGCACCAGTATCGGCGATTGCTTTGATTTGTTGTTCCAGCAAATTCTCTTCGCCACGACTGAAATCTTTGAGTTCGTTAGCGGTTTTAATTAAAACGGTTCCTTTGGTTTCCGTTTGCAAAATGTCAACGGGGCACGAGTAAACGGCGACTTTAGCATTTTTCGCCGATGAAATGTCACCCTCGACAAAGCGCTTGAACACCATACCGTTGACTACTTCGGAACGTAACAAATTGCTGCCGGCAATTTTGCACACACGAATATTGTCGACGTTAAACGAATTACCGCCGGACCATACTGATTTGCAGGCTTTAACGATGAGGTCTGTGAGAAAATCTTCTTGGCCATATTGTTTCGATTGCACGGCTGTACGGATGACAGCCTTGATTTTCTCTTCATCCTGTTCAACATTGCCGATGACAAGTGTTTGCAAATCTTCGATTGCTTTGACCAATGCATTTTCATAGCCGTCAGCAATTTCGGTTGTAGTAACACCCAAACGCAACAATTCCTCGGCACTTTCGAGCAATGCACCGGCAAAAACGACCACAAAATTCGTACCATCACCAATTTCAGCCTCTTGCTGTTGACTGGCCAAAACCAGCAATTTTGCGGCTGGATGTTCGACATCCAATTCACGAATTATGGTGCCCGCATCGGATGTAACGAATTGCTTTTCCAAATAGTTGATGATCATTTTGTTCATGCCATTCGGACCATATGCGGTGCGTACCGTTTGTGCAAACTCTTTGCATGCTGTCAAATTACTGTACACAGCTTCTTCCAAACCACTTAACATCTGAAATATTTCCAAAAGAAACCATTTAATTTTCATTCATTTCAATCGTAATTCCAACATTTTCACAAAAAAAATTCACATTCATCGCTCATCTGACACATTCACGTGAGCTCACCTACTATGAGCGCGGCACTCTTGCTGCACACACAACTCATACAAACAACCGAATTTTCCATTCGACTCAATAAATTTACACGAATTTCCGTGGATTATTTTTTCAATGGATTTTAAATTATTTTACTTACGCGTGCACCATCTTTCATCATTTGGGCAACGCCGGGCGCTTTTGGAACAGATAATGCCATTTTGATTCACAGATTGTCAAGATCGAACAAAAAAAACGAGAATTCCAGCAAACAGTAGTTTGATTTGTTCCGAAACCGTGTGTTGATCACTACAAAGAGAGTCACTTGGATGTCTTAACCTTAAAATTGACTGCAAAACGTGAGTAACATTTTGTGCCGAACGTTCGAGTAAATGTGTATTTTGCATGATGTCACACTGACAGCTACACACACCAGCATGCCATACACTTTCAATGGATTGTGTGTATTCTACAACAAAGAACCCATTGGGCGAATACATGCAAACATTTTTCGCCTGGATGACTAACGCAATGCATGCGTATGTGTGTGTGTGTGTGTGTGTGTGTGTGTAGCGAACGAATGTTTGTTAGGTGAGTCGACCGAAACTGAAATCGCTCTTTTGAATTGACAGTGAATTCGTTTTGTGCTGGAATCATTTCTAAGTAAGAATTTAATAAATTTAATCACTTTTTCGAGTCTTTTTCAATTGTTTCTTTTGAAATAAAGCTACAAACGTTTTCAATTTCTTTCTTTTTTTCTTTTAAAAAACATTGAAAATCATCTATTTTCCGAAATTTATCCCAAATTGAATAAATTCCATTTGAAAATTGAACGGCATCCAATTCCAAAAACGTTGACGCCATTGAACGCGTCCATTTGTCAACACAGTGAGATGAGAATGACACTGAGCCAAGCCCGAACATCGATTCGCCATTATTCGCTTATCTCCGATAGTGTTTGAGTGAAATAGCGTCTAGCAAATTGGATATCGTGTAAAAGAGACAGACAACGAATCGTTTCGTTTTTTTTTCTCTTCGTTTCTCTACATTCTGTCAAACATCTCGGAACCAATCAACTATCGTATAAAAATTCCGAGCAAAAGTTAAAAGGCTGTAAAATTATCCCAGCATAGTTTTGTGTCTTGCAAAAGCAGTTTCATAGAAAACAAAAATCAATTTTTTTTCGTAACATTTCAAAGGGTGTGTTTCGTAAAATCCATACAAATTTACCAAAAAAAAAAAAAAATAAACCACAAATAAATTCATCGACTAACAAATAAAATTGAAAGAAGAAAAAAAAAATATCCGCACAAAACCAAAGCAAAAAAGATTTTTTTAACACATTTTATCCACATTTTCCCATTTTCACACGAACAGAAACAACAGAATAGCTCTTAAAGTACAAACAATTTGAAAAAAATCATCAATATTTTATGTTTTCAACTCATATTTCAGGTACAAAAAGCAAGTAAAAAAAAATCGAGAAAACATCAACATAAACTCAAAAAGCTAGTTCAATTTCGTTGGTTATTGTGACTGTTTTATTATTTTTCATTTCGGTTGTTAATCGTTCCGCAATTTTCATCAGCTCTCAGTGTGTGATGAGTGATTTTTCTTTTGCGTTTTCATTTCATTCGTTTGATTTGTTTTGTTGGTGATGCCAATAGTGAAAATTGCAAACAAGACAAGTCCAGATATTTATTCAAGTAGACTATTTCTTTTTCGATTGTTTTTTTTTTTCTTTCTTTGGCCGATGTGATCTCAAGAAGATTTTAGCGATAAATTTTGTTTAGTGCTTGTGTATCTGTTTGTACTGTGTGTGTGTAAAATGTAAAATCGGTGTTTTACCTCCTTTATCCAAATCTCATATCCTTTATCAATCTCTTCAACGAAAAAACAAAAATCAATATTCCTCCTTATCATGTATCCCATCCTTATTTGCACATTTCTCTTGTTTGAGCACGCATCAGAGAAACGTTATATGGAGCGAAAAAGAACCGAACGTGGTCTTTTTCCCCCCCAAACACATATATACGATACGGAACAATTTAGTGTGTTCTCTGTTCTGTTCAGCAACCAAATGATATAAAAAAAAAATGTCTATATATACTATGTGTTAATCGATGTCAAACAAACACCTATCGAATATTGTCAAATTGATACTAATAACATTTTGTTCTCTTCTCTTGTCGCTCTCCCTTCGATTGCGTTTTGCATTCGATGCGGCTTTATTATAGGACTTTCCGAGACAGCTGTAATGGACCTCATGGCCAATAACTTGCAGCAACAACGCAATATGGTTGAACAATTGCGACGTGAAGCCAATATTCAACGTATGCCCGTGTCAAAGGCATGTGAAGACATCATCAAATATGTGACCGAGCACGAGCAAGAAGATTGTCTCCTGGTCGGTTTCTCCAGCCAAAAAGTCAATCCATTCCGTGAGAAGAGCTCATGCCAAATCCTCTAAATATTGCCGTTGTAATCCATCAACCAACCAACACCATCATATATTACTACGTATGCACAATATGCTACATCCTCCCCCCCTCAAGCAACTCTCTGTACACCAAATATGGAATATATAACTTAATTCTTCTCACAAGTCACTAACTCTATTTTTTTTTTTTCTCACCACCAACACTCATAACACACTATCCACAATGTGTAACGTGATAACAAAAAAACAACACACACACAAAATAAGAAACAACACCTGTGCCCATATAGGCCTTTTCATTACTGTGTATCTCAAGAAAAAAAAACTTTGTCTCAGCATAGAAATGGAATTGAATAGAACCAACGGATTTCATCTGTTTCGATAATTTATTAGATATATTTAAATGGAATGGAAAGATAGAAAGGAAGCAACATGAAAAACGCACATGATTCGAGTCAATTTTCCATCATTTTCGTATCAATTTTCCTTCCTCACACACACGCATTCAAAACACAGTGTATTTGTGTGGTTTAGCCAAAATCGTTTTTCAAATTCCATCATTTTAATTAATTCGGTTACACACACAAAGTATTAGTTTGAAATGTTTCTCCACAATCAAAACAAATAGCAAATTATGGATTGAGTAGCGAAATAAACATCTATTGTGTTAAATTGTCGATTTGTCAAACTGTTTATATTATAAATGTTGGTGTGATTTTTAGCTAAATCTGAACTAATTTTTATTGTGAATTCATACAAATTTATATAAATAGTCAAAAACGAAATCAATTCGTTTTTTTCTTTTCAATTCAATACGAGAAATCCGCCAGTGACAATTTAACATTTTAACAATATTTTCTGAATTCTATTTATCCATTCGCAACAAAAACAAAAACAGAAGAACGCAATTTAATAATGAAACTACATATATCGATATTGTTGTTATTTTACAATGGAAATTCTCTTTGAATCGAATTTTTGAAGACGATTTCGACAAACACAAATTACAAACTACAAAAACAAAATAAACAAACAAATGAGCTAATATTTTCTGTCATATTTGTAATAGATGAAATGTTCAAAATACAAAGAAAAATTTACAAAAAATAAATATTGATGTGTTGATGTAAACTGAATTGATTCCAGTGTTTTTTTTTAATTTTGTTTAATCGTCTGAATTGTTAAGTTTTTTTCAGGAGATTCCATGTAGAAATGAACCAATTGTCATTAAGCCGAAGGAAGAAGTATGTGGATGTGAAAGAATCCTAGTCTCAATGTTGAAAGAGCTTTCGATGTGGATGGAGGTCTTTATGCGACAGAGCTGTTAATCCATGAGCATTTTTTTCATTAACACCGTCGAATGAATTATGTGTGCAATATCCGTGTGAGAATTCGCGTGAGTCACATGACAATGTCGTGTGCTGTCGTAAAGCTATTTCAAAGAAAATGCACCAAAATGGACAGAATGCAATCAATTTTTAATTTAACCGATAGCGTACGATGGCTCAGCAAAATGCTAAGCGTTCCAAGTGTAATTCCATTTCCGTAATTGGTTGTTCGTCGAGCAAACGAATCCGACAATCCTCTTTTCGAGCTCGTGTTTTTTAGCACTACATGAAATGTAGAGCTACTAATCTGCTTATTTTTTTTTTCTTAATACTTTTCGAGTGATGAAACAAATTATGGTGAATTTCAATTTTATGCTCATATTTTTTATTTAATTTAAAACAGGTGCACTAACGACAAAAAAGTGCACAATATCTCAAAGCGCCAATCAAATTTTTATTATCAAATGTTTTTTTTAAAAAATAACATTAATTTTTCGTATAGTATTTTTCTTGAGAGAGAGTCTTGAACAGAATTGAAGTGATTTTAGATTCTATGCTCTAATTCTATGCTAATATTATTTATTTAATTTAAACCAAAGGCAGTATATTTCAAAAAAGAAATAAAACCCAGATCTTGTGATTCATTTCGAAAATAAATATATAACTTCAAAGTTACTTTGATGAAATACATTTCATGTAGTGCGCCAAAAAATAGTTTGTTGTGAAACAACAAAATAGATAAAATAACTAAAAACTCAAGAACGCAGAGCGGAGCGAAGCGAAGCTCTGCGGTCTTGTTTTATTTATTTGGCTCTCCAACAGACAGAGTTTTATTTCTATCTGCGTCTCTCTTTTTACGACTTCTTTTCTTTCTCGCTCTGCCTATTTCTCTCTGTAACTTCCTTTCTCCATCTCCGATTTTCTCGTCAAGTGAAAAACTTTCCACTACGTCAATTTTTATCTGTTTACTCCGCTGTAAAAAATTTGGTTATATTTTTGTCGGTCGTTTTTTTTATTGCTGCTGCATGTGGGTGAGTGTGTGTGTGTGTGTGTTTCACGTTTCCGTGTGATAAGCAACTCGAAGATTTTTCACTTGCATGCATGCAACGATGTGATAAAATGTATGCCCCGATATGTGGTGCAAGCATCACACCACGGAAAGAGACTGAACGTGTACGAGACAACTGTGCTGAGAGTAAATGTGCATGATCAATTGCCGTGAGCCCGTCACATTTAAATGCATCGCATGGAGAGCAGAGAGAAAAAAAAATTGGCCCTAATAGAAAAATAACGCACGAATGCAACGATGGTAAACTTGGCTAAACATCCGTTTCTTTCCCTTTTTTGCTTTGGATTTTTTTTTTGCTTGTTCGCTCTCTTTTTTCTTCTCTCTCAATCTCGCTCACCATCGTTCGCTTCTTTCTCGCTTCTTTCACTTTAGTCGCACATACTTTTTCTATCTCTATTTGCGGAACCCGGCCGCTGAGCGAATTGTTGCACACATTACGCGCTCACGTACCACTCAACAAATCAAGAATACAAAGTAAATCGCAACGAAGGAGTGAACACAGAAAGGGAATTACATACAAAAATACGCTCCGTCGGGAAGACGCGCATTGATCGAAACATTGCAACACTTTTCGTAAAAATCAACAGCGGAAAATATGGCGAGCCAGCGAAGGGAAAAAATTGAGCCATGATTTTTCTGCTCCATATTCAAAAAGAGTATCGACCAATTTTCTCTTGTGCACGTACTTTGTCGCACGGTTTGGTGCAGCCGAGCTAGAGCGAGCGAGAAAGATATAGAGAGAGACTTTGTTATTCAATCAACTTCAATTTTTTTTTTTCGCAGCAACTCTTGATGCGACATTTTTTTCTCGAGCATTCGTATCGATGCATCCGATTCAATTGGATTTCGTTGCCGCAGGTATTCCAGATTATTGTCAACTAAGCCCACAGAAATGATGCACAAACATAAAATTGAGTCAATCTTTGACCAGATAGCGAGAGCTGTAGATAGAGAGAGAGAGCGAGATAGAGATAGTGAAGCAGATACAAAAAGTGATGAAAATCTAAATCCCAGATAACACTCAAATAGCGAACATTATGGCAAAAATAATGCACAAACACACACACGCTCTCTGCCTCTTGTTCTTTCTTTTTCCTCTCTTTTACTCTCGTCTTTGATCATTGAAATGAATCGAAATACGAATTCGTCTCCCCCGGGGAAGCCAAACCGTGTCGCATAATAGCACTGCTCATTTCACTGTACAACCGACAGTAGCCCATACACACAATCGCGCGCACACACAAACACACATTTCGTGATTATTTCCTTTGTGCGATGGATCTCGCATAATAACATTTCAATTACACTAGGCCAATTTGCTTTGAATGTACACGTGCTGTGAGCTGCAACCAACACAGACTACATTGTTTTTGTTGTGTGCCACTGTTAGATCTTTCTGTTTCTTTTTCATCCTCTCTCTTCTTTTTATTCACACAAATGATGTATTTCCATGTGTATTGGTAATTTAGCGGCAAAAGACAAACGTCGCACCCACCGACAAAGTAATTATAACTTCACTTTTGAAGCCGGTGCCAAGAGCAAAATCTGCTTTTGATTGATTGATTGTATAGAGCTGAAGAATAGAACATTTTTATTTAATCGCGAGTTTGATCGAAATCAAGATGAAAAGAGGAAGAAAACCAAAACTAATCGTTTTCAAACTGTCTAGCATAAAACAAAAACGAAAGTCACAATATCCGGACAGCGTTAGCTATGTTCCCGAACAAATTATTGAGAAGCACAAAAATGAGGTTTGTGGTCATTTTAGTTTAATTCGAGCGATTCTTTTTATTTGAATGTTGGCGCAACAACAAGTAATGCCGATTGATTCGTTAATGACATGCCATTTTGTACGTCACCAATAAAAAGCATTTTTTTTCTGGACGACAATTCTATTCTGTTGCTTTAGATAGTTTTTTTGTGTTATGAAAAATCGGCCATCACATCGATTGATTTTTGTTATTTAAAGCAAACGCATAATTCACTGACACTTGATATTGTCGTGTCCGAGTGTTGTTTTTCACATTTTTTAGACGTTTTTATTTGCGTCCAAAATTTCACTCACTAAATGATCGAACGTTTAAAGAAAAAAAGACGTATTATTATGTGATGGTGCCGATGCTTCGATCTTCTGAAGAAAACACCTACATTTAGAATTCCCCACTCTGCTTTCAAAGCGCCCTGCTCAATTCAATTCCAATAATTAAAAAAAAACTGTTTGTTCAATTTAGGCGTTGTACCGTGTTCGTTGGCCGTCTACGTGGGAGCAGGAGAAGAATTTATTGGAATGTAAGGCATTGGACCTATTCCTTAATGGCAACACCGAAAACGAAGACGGAAACGACGACGACGACACTGAAGTTGTGAGTGAACATCAATCACAAGTGGACGAAGAAGTGTGGGAAGTGCACAAAATTATCAGAAAACGAATCGTCAGAAAGAAGGTATGTGGCTAACCGAATTCTGCATGTGTTTTATATGTGGCCAATTTTCAATATTTCGATATATTGGGAAAAAAGATGGAGTACTTGGTGAAATGGAAAGATACTTGGATGTTGCGTGACGATTTAAATGACAATTGGCCGAGTCTAATTGTCAATTTTGACAATGCTGAACAGCAGAAACAACATCAGCATCTGAAGGAGCAAGTATTGAATCAAGGACAAGAACATGAACTGGATTTGCAACAGCACCAAACTCATCAGAAATCCGATATAAATGCAAACCATACGGAGGTAAGTTAATAGATCGCCACTTTCTATGCGATATAATAACAGCGTTCATTGATTCATTTTGAACTAGCCGGCAAAGAGAGCAAACCTGAAACGGAAACGCTTTGAAGACGCAAACGATAAAAATGAGGCAAAATACCCTACGAAGAGATCCAGAACGGAGAGGATGCAAGAGGACGTTGACGATGACGACAACGATGAGAATCGCTTACAAATTATTGTCGATGACGCTGAAATCAAGAAGATTCTAGCCCGAGGAACATTTCACGGCGAAGAAATGTTCCGGTTTGAGCGATTAAACGGCAACGGGTATGCAGTCATTCCGATCAAAGTGGCGAACATGAAATATCCTAAAGCAGTGATAGACTTTTATGAAAGTCACATTGTGTATCATCCATAAATCAAGAGTGAGAAGAAAACGATGTAGAGAATAAGACCAATCAAAATGAGTGTCTGAAGAAAAATTATGTAAAATTTTTAATGAAAACTCAGAGTTCCCTTTGAATATTGTGTCGATTTGCCGTAAATATTGTTCTATTATTATTATTATTATCATTATCATTTTCTGTCGGAATTCTTGATGTATCAACTGAACGAAAAAGCAAGACTTTGAATTGTTTGAAAAGAATGTTGTGATGAATAAAGTTGGCCATTTACACTGAATCAATGAGTCCGTCAGCGGTGTTTAGCACATTAAAAGTCAATGTTTAAGAGGCATGCGAAGCTTTTGTGCACACACACACACATACAAAGTGGATAGAAAAAACCTCACTACCAGTCGTTCTTTTACATTTTATCGCACTCAACGCTCGCGCTAAATTAAGCGATGTGGTTGCCCGATTTTTTTCTACTCTTCGTTTGCTCTGTAGTATAGACAGTATCTATCTCTGTGAAGTCTATCGACTCTACACATGGCTATCGAAATAGTTATATGATGTGTAACGCAATCGATGGAAGAAGTCATCAGGGTGCTTTAATGAAAACAGTTCAGAGTACGCAGTGCCAAAAGGGAAGCAGATATTCAGGTTTGCTTTGTGTAGTTGCGGTGATAAAGAGAGATTGACAAATATATTGCTTTTAGGTATTTGTATCTTTTTTTTTAAATTTAAGTTATAAGTTTTATCAAACTTTCAGCGTTTTCACTAAAAACAAAAAGAATTGTTGATATTTTGTTCGTAGTTTTAATACAGTTTATGTTTATTAAAATAGAATTTTTTTTACTCAATGAAATAGTACATCATTTTTGTTGTGGTTGTTGTTGTTTGATGTTAGAATCAATTCCCTTTCAATCTTAACTAAGAAAATTGTAGGTCCATTTCATATTCCATCAATCATTTTTTTTTCAAATGGTATTACGAATATAATTTAAAATTTGATCTCTGTGTATCTGTTATTTTCGTTCAATTGCTTTTTTTTGTTTTTTATTTTATTTTCAATTGTTTATAAGGGTAAAAAAGCGGTGTAAGTCCCAATTACATTTTTCAGCCAGTAGTTTGATCATAATTTGTGTTCATTAATGAAAAAAATTGATAAAAAAGAGAAAAAAGAAAGACAATGACAACGAAGTGGTACGTAGTGTAGGTATCACAGCTTATCGATTTTGATTAAAATGGCTTATTATTTCATGAAAATGGTAAATGATTTTGATTTAGAATGTCTATTGATTCAAATTAGGATACAAACGGTAATTGTGGTCTGACAATCGGATTTCTATGAAGCAACGCCGTTACTTGGATCGAGCTTGACTTCGATTTTTTTTTTTTGGAATAATTCAGGGGCCTGTTCAACCGTTCAGTTGTAAACTTGAAAATTGTAAAATCGATTTACAATTTTACAGAGAACTGTAAAACTGATTTACAAGTCCACAATTTCTTGTAAAACGCTGATTTTCAAGCATTTGCAATGAAAAACAGTTTTTTTTTTGTTAAATCTTTTTTTATATTTTCATATTCATGAGGCAAAAGTGAAATTATTCATTTAAATATTATAATACAATTTAAATTGTATATGAAAAACAAATTTTGAAAATCATGACATAGATGGCGCTTTATTTAATGCAATCCACACACATTGTGATTCCGGTTACAGCCCAAAAACCAAACACCTTTTAAACGACTTTTCACTTTATTCTGTTCTTAAAAAAAATATCAGTTATCGTCAATTTTTATGGTTGCTAGGATGCATGGGAGTCAATTTTCAATGTTATTGGCTGAATCGGTAGCAAACTACAATTTCTAAAATATTACTCAAAAAACGTTCAAAACCATTAGTTGGAGGCAAGATTTTTTTGGTGTCTTCAGAATTTCAAATTTTGAAATATTATCTGAAACAGAAAAAAATGGAGTCGCACACGGAATATATGATTCAATGTGTTGTTGCGTTGTGTTTGGGTGACAGACGTTTAATAATCTTGGATTCAAACGTCGTTAACACGTGCATATGTTTTTCTCTGTTTTCTGCGTGCGTTTGACGTTTAAAAAACTTTTAAGTTTTTCAAACTATGGACTCGCACGTTATTAATATGTACAACATATGAACCGTTGCGACAAAAAAATTCCCTCAGAATATTTGAGAATTGAATCGAAGCATGGCATTTGCCTAAGAACAAAGAGCAACAACGCAAGTTTTTGAACCAAAGCGACACAAAGCAAATGTGAGAAACAAAGTGCAACATAAAAATTCATGTTGCAGTTTAAAGCCGAAACTTGCTTTATGGCACTTTGTTTCTCAAATTGGTGTTGTTTCTCGATCGATTTGAACGATTCCGCAAAAATGATCCATGCTGATTGATTCGTTAATGTGAGGTATTTGATTTGTCATCAAAAAAATGAAGCATTTGCTTCTTGGACGAAAATTGCATTTCGATCCTTCGAAGAGTTTAGTATGTTGTGTCCGATTCGTGTTATTTTTTTCATTTTCTAGACGGTTTTCGATGAGTTTGAAACCACGAAGAAAACGAACATTTTTCTGCGGCTTTCAAAGAAAAATCTTTTATTATGGCTTGCTGACGCCGATGAAAACACCAACATTTAAAATTCTCTACATTGATCTCAAAGCAATGCCTGCTTAGTTCAATTCCAATAAGAAAAAACTGTTTGTTCAATTTAGACGCTGAGCGGTGTCGGTTAGCCGTGTAGGTTTGAGCAGGAGAAGATTTTATTGGAATGTAAGGCATTGGATCAATTCCTTAATGGCACCACCGAAAATGAAAACGAAGACGACGATGCTCACGAAGTGATTGAATATCATTCGCGGGAGGACGAAGAGATATGGGAAGTGCGAAGAGCTCTCAAGAAACGAATCTTCAAATAGAAGGCACAAATCATAAAGAGATAGCAAGCTAATGGACTGCCACTTTCCATGTGATTTAATAAAAGAACGGAATGGATATAAGAGGGTGTTGTATATGATGATATGCAAATCAGCGTCGGGAAGATGAAGGAATCAAGACGATTTTAGCCCGTGAGACATTTCATGGTGAAGAAATGTTCCGATTCGAGCGATTAAATGGCAACGAGCAAACTATCATTCCCAGTCATTTCGATCGAAGTGACGAAAATGAAATACCCTGGCGTAGTTACAGACGAAGGTCACATTATGAAAACACATGGATAAAATTGAATTTAAAGTTAGGAATGAGAGGGTAAAGTACAAATGAAAAAGAAAAATGATCAAAAGCAGAAAAAGGGAGCAAACCATGGAAAATAAAAAGTAATCGTAAAATGAAGAGCGACCGAAAAAGATGTAGATAGCCCGATCGAAATGAGTGTCAAAAGAAAAATTATGTAAAGTTTTGAATGAAAATCCAGAGTTCTTTTTGAATATTGTGTCGATTTGCCGTAAATATTGGTGTACTATTATTATTTTCTGTATGAATTCTTGATGTATTAACTGAACGAAAAAGCAAGACTTTGAATTGTTTGAAAAGAATGTTGTGATGAATAAAGTTGGCCATTTACGCTGATTCAATGGGTCCGTCAGCGGTGTTTAGCTCATTAAAAGTCAATGTTCAAGAGATATGCGAAGCTTTTTGTGCACACATACACACACATACAAAGTGAATAAAAAAAAAACCTCATTATCAGTCATGCTTTTACATTTTATCGGGCTCAACGTTCGCACTGCATTAATAGATGTGGCTGTTTGCTTTTTTCTTCTTCTCTTCATTCGCTCTATCACTCGCGCTACAGAATAGAGACTATAGTCTCTTATACATGGCTATCGAAATGGTTATATGATGATGTGTAATGCAATCGATGGTAGAAGACGTCATCATTGGGTGCTTTAACCTATTTGAGGACACGGTTGCATAGACCTCATGCGAATGGCACATACACATCGACGAAGATGATGGGCTGAATGCGAGCGGGAGACTCACACACACGAACACACCGGGAGAGATAGAAATTGAGAGAGGGAGCCAAAGGGACCGGGATACAGTTCATTCAAATAAGTGTAATAATCTTGTCGCATCTTTCTTGTTCGATACATACACATTTCTGAATGAGCGCTCTGCCGAATTGCTGGGATTATACGTTATCATATCGTAAAATATGCATGGAGTGGTGGTTCTCGTGCATTGCTTCAATTAAGTTTTCTATTCGCAGGCAAATTGTCGGTGAATTGAATAGCGAGTGTGCAAAATGGTCTCGGGCAACGATACACTGAACTCTTTTTCTTGTTATTGTTGCTTCTTTTTTTCCATATCAAATTCAATGAGCTCCAACCGAGGGAAAGACACCGAGAGGCAGGAGAGGAAAGGTGAAGTGAGACAAACATGAGAATAAAGCAAATAATAGTGCCAATATATCGTGTGCAAGTGGATTCTATTTTATCCACGTTTGTCTTTCGAACATCGTTAAAATGTATTCGATGCATTGAACGCAATAAATCTCGGTTGAGTTGCACAAAAGCAACATTTTGAGATGTTGTTGCTGCTGCTGGTGTTGTTTTGTGGCAAAGAAAGGGGTTCGGAAGATGGCCACTCTGGTCTCATACGAATGCATGACACGATTCCATTTTTTATCGGCCAAATCTTTTGACGAGACAAACTCATCGCTTGCACGACAACATGACGTACTTTCCACGCACCGAACAATAAAAAAAGAAAACAAATCGACGACGCTATGATTATATTATGTGTTTACCATTCGTGTCGATGTTGTAACTGTGTCCATGCTCTCGATGGAGAAGACATTGCCCGTTTCGTTCACGCCTGTTGTTCAAAACAAAACCACCGAAATAGCATCCTTTCGAAGCATCGAAAAAAGCGTACACACTCAGTGTGCACATAGTACATTGTAAGCGGTGGTGGTGTTGGCTTGGGGGGAGGAGTGTGGGCACCACACCGATGCAATGGCTGTGTGTATGAGTTGTTGTCTCTATTTTTAGAATGTTTGACCCAATTTACATAGGTCTCGGCTTGTGTTGCCGTGTGCATTACAATTCGCACACACCAGACGCGTGACAAACATAAAGTGGGTGTGTTGCATTTGGGATGGCTTCGCTGTCGTTTTTTCTTCTTGTTTTCTTTGTTTTTATTATGTTTGCCGTGTGTGTGCAGAAAAAAGCTCCCAGCAACAAACTCACCAAGCCACACAAATCCCCATAAAATTGTGCTCAAAACCGAGAAAGAGAATGGAAAAACAAAATGAATCAAAGATTAACGCAAAATGATGCTCAAAGGTATTTTTGGTGGTTAGTAACAGCAAGAGTTGTAGCTATTCTCTCTCAGTGTGTGTATGTGTGGTGAGCGTTGTCCCCTGTAGCTCCAAAATACGTACAATCGAATCAAATAGCGAGAGCGATAGACAGAAAAGTGCACACACATGTAATCAAAATAAATAATTCCCGCCGCAGATTTGATGATGATATTTCATTCAACTCTGTCGTTGAGCTCAAGGATTTTAAAAGCGTGTCGCATCGTCTAGACGTTGTTTGGCCTATCGGCTATTGGGATATCGTCTCTGCCGCCGTCGTCGTCGTCGTCGACGGTTGTTATTGTCGATACACACAGTGTGAAAAGAGAAAGAGTGTTGAATTTGTAATAGAAACGGGCGACACGCTCCTTTTTTTTGCTACACGCCGTCTTCATTTTCTTTGTTATTTGCAGCACCACAGTTTGAATACTGTTAATTTCATCATAAAATCCGTTGATCTCGTCTCGACACAAAGTGGGTCTTTTTGAATCAACAGTCGACGCAAAAACACCGAAAATAAACGGTTTGTTTGTAATAAACTCTAGACTCAAACGCATTACATTAATGATGATGCTGATGCTGATGATGCATGTACATTTAATGGATGTGAGACATACAAAATGTGCAATTTCAATTTGCACGACACAGAGAGGGAAAATAGAAGAATATTAGAGGAAAATTTCGATAAAAACGACCAATGCGAGAATTCATTTTTGGGCAACAGCTCGACAATAATTTCGGTGAACACACATTTTTATTTCATACAGTCGTAAATTTCAAACCGCACGCATACAACCGCCAAACTGGAACACTGCAGTAATACAGCTCTCGTTGGCATACAGACGAGCGTACGAACGAAAGAGTAATAGAATCTGAGCTGTGGCAATGTGTGTGTGTGTATCTGTGTATGTTGAATGCGCGTCAGAAGATATCTGTATCAGAACGAAGACACATACACATACACACACGCATAAACTCGCTCACTCTATTCTTTACGAAGATTTTGCGCGTTCTTTGTGTTTGTGTGTTGATGTTGCTGCTTCTGCTTCTGCTGCTACTGCGATACAACTTTATGTGTATCGTGTGTTCTGCACGCTCCTTTTTTGGCGTAAACGGCACACTATGTATTCATTGTAATCGCCAACATCAGACCGAATGGATGTGCAAACATTTTGATGCTGTCACACAGAGAGACGTTCGCATTGAATTGATTCGTTTTACTTAGTCGACCGATAGCTGAGAGTGCGAGAAAGAGAGAGAGAGCAAGAGTCATCTCGTGCTGTCAAAACAACCAACAGGAAAAAAAAAATTGAATCACACAACTCGTAAATAATAAGTAAAATTACTTTGAAAAACGCGAAAAAACCAAAGTAGATAAAACAATTTCAATCAAAACATTCAAAGTGAATATTTTAAAAGCGTTCAGCGATTGCATTTGTGTATTCTTACAAGTTGAAATTGTGCATTGTGTGATACACCTTTTTTTGTTCGAAATAAAACCGTTTTTGGGTTGGGTGGTGTGCTGCAGCTTCTTTTCATTGTTTTCGTTGCAAAAGTGAACGAGTTGTTGGTGGGGCTAGAACGAAATTTCGGTGTGTTTATTTAGCAACAAATTCGAAACACTCGCAAACACACGATCGAAATTGTTGGAGACGAACGTGACACAGCATTAAAAACAGAATGGAAGACGATATCAGTGTGAACACGAAACCATACAAGGTAAGCCAGAACAACAAAAGTAAAAAAAAAACGATAAAAAATAGCAACAATGTGTGTGATTGATTGCAATTGTCACCTGCATTCAGGCGACTATGTTTGAATGTGTGAGTGTGCCTGTACCTGTGATTACACGCCAGCCACGCTTTGTTTACCATTTTCAACGATAATGGTTGTGTGTGCAGAATAAAAAAAAACCTGCGTTTCATCGTCAAAAACTGTAACTGGCAACAGCAAAATGATGTTGAAGCTAAAGTTTCAGTTCAAAATTGACAAGGCTTGACAGGCTCTCACTCATTCACTCCGTACAACCAAGTACACCGAGAGAGCGCGTACACACAATGCAATTTAATTACGCTGGGATTCTTCTCATGAATTAGTTTTGTTGGGCTGTTATCGCATTATTCACGTGCGACACTCACTCAACATATATTTCCAAGAACACATTCTCTTGCTCGTTATCTCGTACGAAAGAAAAAAAACGACACAATACAGCGCGCTCAATTGCCTACATACACACGACGATGGTAGAGCGCGCACACGAAACCCAAAATTTCCATCGAAATTGGCTCGTGTGTTTCTCATATTTTCCTCTTTAAAAAATTCATATGCATGCAAACTCATTTGAGATTCCCTTACACAACCGAATTATAAAGCCCGGCCTTTTTGAAATCAACTGATTTAATTTTATTCGGTCTTTGTCTAGCTCTTTTTTTTTATAGCCCCATCAGTTTCCATGAAACAAGCCATGTATGTTGTTAATAGCTATTTATTTCTGGCCGTATTAAAATCGAAAATGGGAAAATTTGGGCCAGATTTTGCAATCAAAACTTTGACTGGGCGTTTGACGCATCGCATTGTTCTTTACATACAAAGAGCATGTCGGTCGGATAGACATAGGATGGTCGCCGTATCAGATAACAGTGGGAGAAAAATTGCATCCACAATTTAAAAAAAAGCAGAGATTTGGCCACTTCGTAACGCCTCACTTATCGATTGCACGAATAATTTGCTACATTCGCTTGAAATCAGTCGTCTGCTCTTGGTCGTCGTCGTCGTCGTCAGTTTTCATGCAACCAAAAAACACTCGAGGAGATTTTGCCATTGTATGCGTGTGTATGCACAGCATTCAATGAATGGCAGAGTGAAAGAGATGAGACAAAAAAAATGCATAAAATGCTTCTGTATACAACAGACACACGATGGATTACGGGAAACTTTAAATCAGGCGAAAAGGGGCTACTCTCTTTTTTCTCCACTCTCTTGTTCTCCGCTTTTCACGAACAATTCTGCTTCATATGAAAAGAGCGGAAGCAACGAAAGAGTTTGATAGAAAAAGAAAAATGGGTCCCAGTTTGAAAGGTAAACATGGATCTCATTTTAATAAGGTAAATTGAAACGATCGATCCAATTATCATACGGAAAAAAATGTGCACATGCATTTTACGTTAACCGCATATTTTCCGATAAATCTTCACTAGACAAGAATAAAACGAAAAATACGTATTTGAAACAAGGTTTATCCTGTGATGAAAAAAAAAAAATGGAAAATGAACAAACAAAAAGAACAGCCAAAAGGAGGAAGAAAATCTAGAGAACACCATGTAATTTCAAGCGAAGATTCTCTACCAAAGAATGAACAAAATCAATGAAAAAAATAAAACAAACACAACTCGCTTAAATGACTCATTCCGACTCGGAACTGATTACAAAATAGCGATTAGCCGTTGGCTTTGTGTGTCAGCTCGTGAAAGCCAAAATTCATCCCAGCCATTTTTACGGCGATTAAATTACAACCGATGCACTTGCCAACATTTTTTTCTCATTCTTTCGGTGAGAATGAAAATTCAGTTAAATGATCGAAAACCAGTTTCTGCTTAAGCAAGCCTTATAGAAGCTAGAAAAAAGGCCTTTGAAATAGTGAAATGTGGAGAAAAAAGTAGGTACATGTTTTGGGCCATTTGATGAAAAATCCATTTTTTCCCTGCATCCAACGTATTTTTATTTTCTTTCAACGTGTTTTCCTAGTTTTGTACGATTGCCAAAAGTCTGATAATTGAAACGAATAAATTTCCAACAAATCACGAGATAAAGTGTTGTGGCCACCCAATCCGTTTTCTCCATTTGCTCAGAAGATGGAAAAAAATGGAATTTTCTCCAATATTTCTTTCTTTTCTTGTTCATTTTTGTCTGAGAATTTAATGCCTGAGCATCTTCAAAGTTTATACCGCATGAATAATAGGATACATAATTCGCATTGAGAGTGGGATAAATCTATTATGTTAGCAAAAGGATTTGAAAGTATGTAGGCGGATGATTTTCCGTGCTATTGAAATGCAAATGTTGTGACACAGACAGTGAGTGAGAGTATCGGGCTCTATCAAATGTTGAAAATACCGTTGCGTCACTATGGCAAAAACCATTGAGACATTTCAATATCAAGTGCGTTTGGTTTTCGATTCATCTGAAAACCCGCTCATTTCATATCGGGGAGAAAAACTCGGTCGATCCGATGGTCAATTGGTCTCAAGTGTGGTGAAAAATCAATTTGTTTTCAATTTGTATGCTGTCGATAGTGTGATTGATGACATATTAGTGATAATTCCTTTCAACAATTTCCACCGTTTTAATGCAAAATGTGTGCGAATTCGTACCTGAACGATACACACATAACAGTCGATTTTTCGTTGTTGTCGTCGGTTCTAGAGAGAGAGAGAGAGAGAGAAAGAGATAGAGAGAGAGAGAGAGAGAGAGGTAGAGTGGGAGTTGACGAAGCGAAATGTGGTGACAGTTTGCGGTTAGCCGAGTTCACATGTGCATTTGTGGGTCATGTCCAACGACGACGACGACGACGACGACGACGACAACGTCGACATGATACCTTAGTAATGATCACATGCACACGAACATCCAAATGGTAAGCATCTTTTTTCGGTGGTGCTGCTGCTACTGCCCGCCTGCCTGTCTAACAACCACAATTCCATCGGGAGTGCTGAAATCGACACTGAATTGCTTTCGCTTTAATGGCCTTTTGCCGGGTTAATTACACACCCTTTTCCATGGTAATGTGCAGACCGTATTAAAATAGCGCATATAAATGATCCACAATTCAAGTGACGTCAATTTAAAACTATATTTGTAATTGCTTTCATTTACCTGGAATCGTTCTTGCACCTCACTTTCTTTCTGCTTTATTTTTCTGTTCTCTGTGCATTAACATTGTGTGTTTTTGTTCCATTTTTTCCATCTGGAAAAATATTATTGCAGGTTAAGGACGTATCGCGTGCTAATTGCAAAGGTGTTGTTGCCGCATCACTGGACGAGGTGAAAGCCAAATCGGCCGAAAAATTTGGCAAGATGGATGTACCAAACATTCATTTGGATTCAGATGGCACGGAAATCGATGACGAAGATTATTTCCAAACGCTTGAACCGAACACCGAATTGGTTGCCGTTTTTGAAGGCGAACAATGGATTGATGTAAGTATAAAATGGTTGTTATTTTTTTTTTAGACAAATCCACAAAACTCGGCATTTTCATCGATTAATATGAATGAGGCTTGAATGAGCAGAATCTGCGGAAATGATTTGATTGAGGCACAGAAATTGAAAGGAAATGAAAAAACGAGAAAAAGAAAGAGCAAGAGAGAAAGAGAAATGTGTCTCTCAAGAATGTAAACGGGTAGAAAAGCTGATAATTACGAACACAACCGCACCGAAGTCGATTAATTCATAGTGATTACTCGGTTGTGCTATTAAATGTATTTGTTAATGTTTGTGTTCTAAATTTGGTGTCGAGAGTAAATTAACAGTTCTCACAGAGTAGTTAACGGCAATCGTGGAGAAGCGACGTTCAATTAATCGAGAAAATAACTCAAACTTTCGATATGTTTCGACATTTTGATCGTGTGAACACAAGACATAAGAGAAAATCCAATTTCTGCTGGAAACTAGGTTTGCTACTGCCAACGAACAACACATTTTATAGCGATTCGCCACATTTTTTTTGCTGTACGAAAACTATCTATTTTGCGTTGCATAATGGGTACATCAGCCTACAAGACAGACTTAAACGTTCAACAACTTGGAATCAAATCGTTTTAATATTTTAAGCTGTTTTACTTTCAAACAACCGATCGTATTCAGTCACAACAACAGCATAGCATACTAGAGCTATTTCTCTCTCTCTCTCTCTCTCTCTCTCTCTCTCGATTCACGCTCCATTTACACGATATTCCCATACATATCCGGTTGCGAATCGAAACTTTTAATCGATTTAATTTTCTTGGGAATAAATCATTTAAACGAAACCGCGCCCGACACCGAAAAAAAGCCAAGTAACACAACTGGCGGCTCTCCCAGTTATTCCAATTTATTGAGCAGCAGGCTGCATTCGATCAAATTATTGCGATATAGTATTTGCGGCTACAAGTGCAGAAAATGAGATGCATCTCCATCGTCCAAGCCAAAAAAAAAACGAAGCGAAAAAACGACAACAGATTTTGGGAATGTCTAAAGGCTAACGCCTGAATTTGACAAAATGGGAAAAGTTTCTCCGTTTTTTCTCTATCTCCGTTCGTTGTATGCGAGCGTGTATGGTGTTTTTCGATTTCCTTGCAGTTTGTCTGTGTTTCCGATATGATTTTTCCTTGTGTGTTGAACGTCGTGGCCGAAACTTTGCGCTTCGGTACAATTTTCATATATGTCCGCTTCAGCCGAACAATGTAGCGTGAGAGCGAGCGCAGGCTCACGGTGTATTGAAATGGTCGGAAATGAAGTTATCCAGATAAATCATATATGAATATTTCAATTGCGCTGATTTGAAACCGGCTCTTTGCCACTCTCAGCATATTTTGAGCTTAAGATTGGTGCGCTTGTCTTTGAACCGTTTGTTGAATGTGTGTGTGTTTGGCTTGCCACCATCACGGTAAACGTAACACTACACGAAAATATCACAAAGCCAAGCACTCTTCCTAGAGAAAGAACAAAGAGAATGGAGAAAAACCAGACAACTAAACGATAAAACCTCGGGCATAACTTCACCCGTAAAATGAAATGCACAAACTTTGTCAAATTGATTGTGTCTGAAAGTGAATTCGATCTGAAGTATAAATTAAGATGAGCCAAATCAACAATGTAAAGTTTACCGAGAATACGGTGTGGGTGTGTGTTGGCGTTGAATGTTTTCAAATGAAATGGCTGCAATTCAGTTACCTACTGTTGTTTCGAGAGAAGTGACGAAGTTTCGTCGATGGGAAACTTCAAAAGTTTTCTTTCACTGCTTTCGACAAGCATTGATTTTCTGTTGCCAATGCAGAAGCCATTGGATCGTGGCAATGCAATTTTTATTTCATTTTCCCTGCATTGCCATTTGCTTTGCATCGTCTTTTGTATTTGGAAAAGATGAGACACAACCGAATCTACCGTAAATTTCAAGTGTAGGGAGTTTGATGCAGCTAAACCTGATCAGAATAAGAATATTCGATTAACTGCAGACATTCGGTTCATTGCATACCGATACTGTACACATTTACTGCCACCGCTGCCATCCCCACTGCCGTTACTGTTGCCGTCATTCCGAGAATCAAGTGAACCTTGAACCTTTTGTTGTGTCGACCGTAGCGATGTGCAAGAGGTGAGACACAACAATCATTTAAATGGTGGCTTTTTAAAATGCACAACGAACCAACCGTACCGCACTTTGTATGTATGTGTGGATACTAAGCTTGCGTCAAATATTGACACTTGCTACCATTTCAATTATAAAAGTGGCGTTGTTCATTTGCGCTCACTCCATGCTTCAGAGCGCACCACTTTTTTTTCCATTTCTAGCAACCAGGCCAATAGAAGATGGAGAGAAAAAAACGAGATTCGACTATGCACTGAGACAGATGAGAAAAAACGTCGCATTAATTATTCGTACAATGCACGTGAGGGACTCAATTTACGGTTGGTAACACGGCCAAATACAATGAATTTTCTGACCCATCAAACAGACACCAAACTTTCGGTCGCAAATGCATCTGTTCATGTTTCAATTTCCAATGGGAATATTCAATAAGCCCTCTCCTTCCACCGGATATCCATACGACAATGTGAGAAAAAAAACACCAACAAAATATTCCCGAATTTATTTATGATTTTGGCTCCGCATCTCACTGCTCTTTTTCTTCTCTCTATCTCTCTCGCGTGCAAAAACCGAACGGAATTGTATCGCAAAGCGAATTACGATACATCGGCCAAATATCGGTTATCATGCAGTAAACAGCAAAAGGCGACGGCGGCAATATTACACTCGATCGACGTTTTTTTTTCTTCTCAAACGAAAGATCGACCAAAATGAAAATTGATAATTCTATTCGACACATGCCCATGTACAATATTTTCATTCTCTCGTCCTACGTTACGAAATATGTATCTATATGTATGCTATCGCACAACTTATGAATAACCTGTCAGTGTGTGCCAAATTTCCAACTAGCTCATGATAAATACTGACACTATTTGTCGACCATGTTAGCATATTTTTGCCCGTTGTGACGCTGCTTTTAGCAAATCAATTCATCCGAATGAATATATTCATTCGACTGGAGTGGCAAACGAAGAAGAAGAAAAAACGAATGAGAGGAGAAAAATCAGTCAGTACACACACTAGCATTTGTGCCTGGCAAATCAATATGTGGCAAGTGATTTTCATTCAGAATGAATGAGGCCAGAAAATGATGTTTGACTTAATCCAAACAAAACAGCGAACAACTGACAAAATCTTGCTGTTTTTGGGATCATTACCAAAAAAGGCACACTTCGAACGATAAATCAATTTGAGCTAGAGCGAGAAAGGAAGAGGGAGAGAAGCAAAGAGGCAGAGAAAGGGATGTTAGGCTGTTGACGACAACACAACGTGATATTTGATTCCATAGCAAGCACATTTCTAATGAAAATGTGAATAAATAATGGCAGATCATCATTCAAAATACTCAGTTTACATACGGTTTCTGGCAGAGAAGCGCGCGAATGAGCGCCAAAGCTATCGCACGCAACAGCTGCTTGGCTCATTGTGTACGCTGAAAAATGGAAACATCTTCGTCTCCCCATTAATTAATAATGAAACTACTTTAATTATCGACGGTCTTTGAGCTCGAGCCACCTTTTAGCTCCCAACACCTACTTTCTCTCAATCTCATTATTAACAAGTCAATATTTTTGCTCATAATTAATAATTTATTTAGAAAACATCCATTAAATAATCATAGATGAAAAACGTGCGCCAAAAGCTGAATCCATTGACTTTTTACCTGGAAAACAAGAGAAAAATGGAGAGAAAAAAAAACGAACACAACGATCAAATTACGTTCAGTCAGTTCAACTCATTCTCTTGCTCGCTAGCTCTATCGCCCTTTCTCATTTTCAAACCGATTTCAGCGAACGAAAATTGAAATGTTTCCATTTAAATTTGCATAATTGAATTTTTGGGGCGTTGTGACAAACAGCATTGTGATGATGCTGTTTGTGCTGTTTGTGCTGATGGTATTGAAATTGTGTGAAACTCATTGCATGTTTGGGCTCGATTTGGAAATCAATAGGACAATTGAATGGCGAACGAACGGCACGACAATGAATCGAATGGTTGTGCCATTCGACGCGTATGTTTTCCAAATTCGATGAAAACTCATATATTTTAAGCCGACAAAAACTCTCAATAGCACCCAAATTTTCTATTTTCGTATATTTTTATGTAAAGAAACATATTTTTTCTCTCTCTCTCTCTCTCTCTTTATTTCCATGCCATCCCACTTGTGTCCGCTTTTTGGATCCTGCTCACTCGGCAACTGCCTGACAACAAAACAAATCGGCGCATCTTTTGTGCGGTCATTATTCTCGAATTCCGATGAATTGGTTCTCGTTGCCTTTTTTGTATGGCGACGGATTTTATCTCGGTCAATTTCCGGGAAAAACAATCCATACACGCATACACACCCGCAGCCAACACATTACGTGACCATAACAACGCGCCGAAATTCCGCCGACACAACCGATAGCCCAGACGTGGAACGTGTACATTTGAAGAAAATCGTCAGCCAATTGAAGAACAACTTGTATAATGTGTCGGTGTTGAGCGAACCAGACCTTGAGATGATCACCAACATGGACCCAAATTCGGTGGCCGACATCACGGGCAAAGATTTCATAGAACAGCTGAAAGAAGTTTCAGGCAGGTTGGGATTTATCTCCTTATTCCATCAACATGTAGTATTTGATGTGTCGCAAAAAAAAAACATAACAAATTATCATCTAAATTACGTAGAGATTTTTTTTTAGTCTGCACTTGTTTATTTACTCAAATCAATGGATGGAATGTGAGCTTTGGAGGCACACGATAGAACACATATTGCCCAAAGATAACTATGGAATGGAAGGCTCGTGTATATCACATACGATTTTTATTTATATGATGTCAAATACAGTCTTGCGACAACGACGCACGTTTCAATCCACCCAGAGCCTCAACACGCACACGCACACAAACAAACAAATCAACCGCACAACGACCAAACATATCAAAATACGGGTTTAAGGTCATCTTTCACAATATTTCATCATATTTATGCCACATTTCGCAGGCTTCACAGCCAGTTTTCCATTTGAACACTCTCTTTATTTATTTAATTTTTCTCTTTCTCTCCCACTGTCTCTCTCACTTCTCACTCAATCGCTCTCTTTCTCACTTTTAATTCAATTCGACCAAATCCATGTGTGTGTTTGTGCTGGTGTGTGCGTGTGTCAGGATCATCATCTCCGAATTCATTTTCAGTTCAATTCTTGACGGATGAAAATGTATTTGGTTGAAATTCGTTGGAAATCCAACACATATCTTCCTTCATTTTATGCATACGTTTTAATGTTCATTTCAACATATGAGGCTGTGAGAATGAAAATGGCAATACAGGCTAGCGGTCATAAGTTCCCAAATCCATCCATCCATTCGTCCATCCATTCAATTCTATGGATGGATGATTGGATGGATGGACGAATGGATGGTGGATGGATCTTCAATGGATATTCAATGGATGTTCAATGGATATTGAGTGGATGGATTTATGGATGGATCTAGGTACAAAAATTCGTATAACTGGAATTGAGTCGCCTATTTTGCTTTTGCCTAAAACGCCAATGTCATTAGCAGCATTGACGTCCTACTGATAGGTTTTAAAAACGCGTTATTTTTTTCAGTGTTTCCTAAAAACGTTTTTTTACAGAGCCGTTATATAACGCCCAGAAACGTTTTTTATCGTTATTTCTGCGGTATTTTGGACTGTCAAAAAAAACACTAGAGAAAAATAACGTTTTCATAACACCGTTTGCGGTATTTGTCGAAACGTTTGTAAACCCTACCTACTGACTTAAATGCATTGGAATGTCAAAAAATGGCACAAATTTCCGAGAGCCTTTAAATGAAAAAAAAAAACCGAAGAAAAAACATTCAAAAAAGTAAGGTCAAAATTGGGGGAGAAAAGCAGGAGGCTGCAACATTGACTTCTTTCCATACTAATTTGACGTTTGTCAGTGGTGAACGATTTTGCAGTGCCATCTGCACATATTTGACTATTCAAAGTGAACTAGCTGTTATCAGTAATGATGAGTCATTGATGTTCAATTTTAGGTCATAAACGGCACTTTTGCAATTTTCAATGTACCGTTTATGACCCAAAATTGAGCATCGATGACTCATCGATACTGATGACAGCTAGTTCACTTTGAATAGTCAAATATGTGCAGATGGCGCTTTTCGTATTTGAGGTGATACGTTGCAGCTGCCCGGAGAAAAGTCATCTACCCGATTTTTTTTTTGAGTTAGCGAGTTTTCCATTCGGCCCATGCGATTCTGCTATCCATAGGTTATTCTATATAAGCCTAATTGTCAGAAATGTTTCCATCACTTAATATTTAAAACACAGAATCACCCTGTTCTTATCAGCGGCACAAAATAGAAGTGGCACCGAAACACATATATTTACAATTTGCGGCATTTTAAAGAACTAAAGTATTTGTTGTTGAGAAATTTATGACAATAACAACAAGTATTGATAATTCTTGAAGTTGCTACAAAAATTCATATCATTTCGGCGCCACTTCTATTCCCTATTACATCAAATACGTTGGTTCTTATGGCAGACAAGCAGAGATGTTCAAAATTTGTCTAATATTCATCCATTCATCCATTCATCCATCCATCCATCCATCCATCCATAAGTTGATATATCCAGACTTGACCTCAATTCCAGTTATACGAATTTTTGTACCTAGATCCATCCATAAATCCATCCACTCAATATCCATTGAACATCCATTGAATATCCATTGAAGATCCATTGAAGATCCATCCAACATCCATTGTCCATCCATCCATTCGTCCATCCATCCAATCATCCATCCATAGAATTGAATGGATGGATGGATGGATGATTGGATGGATGGACGAATGGATGGATGGATTTGGGAACTTATGACCGCTAGCCGCAATACAGGAATAAACATTCTGAAATGCATCAAGAAAAAAAATTCGCAAAAATGAATCATGAGTTCTGAATATGCAAAAGTGAAACATGAATTTACATGGGCAGCATAGGAGGTTCATGGTTCACTTTTGCGTATTCAGAACTCATGATTCACTTTTGTGAATTTTTTTTTCTTGGTGCGCTTCAGAATGTTTATTCCTGTATTGCCATTTTCATTCTCACAGCCTCATATATATATACGGCTTTAATCCGAAATCTATTATTATCATAGTGGTCCCCAACCACAAAATGTGTTTGTTCATTTATCAGTTGGATATTCTGTATGCTCTGTTTTTCAATTTAACTGTCAAATTGATTGAAACGCATGGCTTACGGCCAGATGGATTTCCATGAAATAATGATTATATCATTCATTAAATTTTAACACCAAATTCCGGAATCCGGATGTTACATTTCAAATGTTTATGAACTGACTTAATTTCCCCGAAAACTTATGCAAATGAAAGTGAGACACACACACAAATTTCTCCCGAAAATGTGTCTCTTTGACCAAAGAATGTTGAGGCTCAAGGTAAAAACGATAATTTCATTTTCAATTTCATGTCCATGTATTTTTCCATTGGCAACTTTTTCAAGTTCATCACCTGATACACGCATACAAAAGCCGCATGGGAAATAAGAGCCTAGCAACTGCAACAATAACAACAACAACAAAAAGACTAGATTCATCAGTTTGATTCACCTTCGTGATATGTTCGTGAATAATGGATTGATTTGATTGAAAATTAATGCGTGATTTGGGAAACGGTTTTGCCGCTGTTCGCCAGAAAAAATCTTTTAATCCTTTGTTTACAAATCATTAATGGTTGGCACGCGAAAAATTGCGTTCCGTTTTCTCGACGCGTTGCGGCATCAAACAAGAGCAAAAAAAAGCGTAATGAGAGAGAGAGGGTTTTCGCGCGTGTACAAAGTTTAAAGTAGGTTTTTGTGCACACGAAAGGGGCCGAGTGCCTTAAAATGTAATTAGAATGTTTGTACACTTGAAGCATCTGAAAAATTTGCTAAATCGTTAGGATTCATTTGATGGAAATTGTATCGTTTGTTTCATGTGCACGCCCAGAAAGCACAACTGGATAACACGTGTGCGGTGCTTTTCTTCACTGCTGCTTACCTCGACGCATTGCTTGGGAAAAAAGAATCTGTAATAGATGCCATGCTTCATGGTGTGACGTGCACACACTCGCGTTTCTATTTTAAACACACGCACTTCATAAGCTCTCGCTTTCGTTGTGCTATTCCCATGGCAACGCGAAGCAGTTGGTCGAACAGCTAGCTATCTTGGGGAAAAGTTCATCATCATTTGCCGAAGAACATTTTTCTCTCTCTCTTTCTCTCTTTTTCTCAATCTCTCCCTCGTTCCGTCTTTCTTGTCGAAAATAGTATAATTCACAACATGACCAAAAACCTGGTAACGTAACAAAAACGAGACACAAAGCAGTAAAACGGAACTTATTTTATTTAAACTAAAGCCGTTGGCTAGGATGTTGCTCTCTATCAGACAATTATAAGCACATTCAAGTTGAGTGAAAAGAAAATTGCGAAAAGTGGCTGCTTGCATTTTTAACTCCTCCTCTTCATGCCTCCGGATCTCTCCATCTCTATGCACCACCGCTTGCACATGCTGCACAAACAGATATTTTAATTAAAAACTAATAAGCTCGCTTGCAACCGAGCGCATTTCCACTACTCTCCTTTTACAACTTCCACGAAATCCAAAGTGAACGTAAACACTTGAAACTTGCGCATCAACAATGTTTGTGTCAATAGAGAGCCATGAGATAAACTATGATTTCCCGTTGATATTTCGTCAAATTTCTCGACGCGACGAGAATAGTTTCAAATTGAAAAGAAAAATTTCTTCCAAGAGCATCGTGCACTCTTAGTCGATGAGTTGTTTTCGATTTTGGAAGTAGTTCAATGATGTTTGATGCTTGTTTTCAATGCGCCCGAAAAGTCAAAGTGCTTTTTCAATAGACTTTGTTCTGTCGATGTGGATGATGGCTTTCGATGCGTTCAAGTGTGCGATTAATATTATCATTATTTCTGAAAATGGGCACGCATTTAACTTGCTTCTGTGCGAAATTTGCCATTTCAAGATGGGTGGCAAATAAGGGCAGACGATTTAACGAGCTTCCCTCTCTGTGAGACTTTGTCGTCGAACGTCAGACTTAATCACACGTTGAATTGAAGGAAATTTCAATTTTAATTTTGCACTTGTATTTTTCAACGGGACGTTATCTAACAATACACTTGAGTGTATACGTGTCGTTCTCTCGTACACAAATGAGGCTGTGAGAATGAAAATGGCAATACAGGAATAAACATTCTGAAGCGCATCAAGAAAAAAAAAATTCGCAAAAGTGAATCATGAGTTCTGAATACGCAAAAGTGAACCATGAACCTCCTTTGCTGCCCATGTAAATTCATGTTTCACTTTTGAGTATTCAGAACTCATGATTCATTTTTGCGAATTTATTTTCTTGATGCGTTTCAGGATGTTTATTCCTGTATTGCCATTTTCATTCTCACAGCCTCAAATCTTTCAATTTGACACACTGTGAAAATGTTATCTCATGGACCATCTCGACAATTGACAAAAGACAATGTAATCGGATTGCCTGTTGAGACATTCCAACGCAAAGCAAATGCACGCGAATTTCGAAATTCACACAAATTCGATATAAATATTCGGCTTTGTCACCGACTGATACATTCATGGAGATACTTGTGTCGCTTTGTAAGCGATTGTGTTGTGTGTAAAATAATTCTGGTTTTGTTTATTGAACGTGCGACGCTGCCAGTGTGGCTTCGATATTGGCAGTCGAATACTGTTGTCGATTCCATTCCATCCATTGTTTTCCGTCATATTTCACTTTCAATCTAGTTTTCTTGCTCCTATTTTCTCCCCATCCATTCATCTATTTCAGAAATTTGTCGTATGTACGTGTGCAATATGTGGCTCAAACACATAAATATCTCTCTTGTTTTCACTGTCGTTTGTCGACTTCATTCGTTATTTATTTACTTATTGACATTATTTTCGTTTTGTGTTTGCGTTTTCATTGTTTGTTCCGGCTTTTCGAATTGGATTTGTGGTGTGTGAACTCCGTCCCTGGTGGTGATGATGATGATGATGACGACGATGACAACGTCAATACACATACACACAATACTTCTACCGTTCGTTGGCACGCACGTTGCTGTCTCGATGTCGTTCAACCGGAAATGGGAATGCAAATAATTAATGACATTTGCTTGAATTGAATTTGATATGAAATTGAAACAGATTCTTGCATGAAAAACGAGAGGCTCTTGACGCAATTGAGTTGCTAAAATTGTTTGCCAAGCATAAAGGCATCAGCATCGAAATGGTGGCAGAAGATGCACCGCCAAATGAAACCCAAACAGCGACCAATAATTTCGACGAATGCCAACAAAAGCCGCCACCATCGCCGTTATCACCACAGCTGCCAACTAGCGATGTGCCCCCATCACAGCAACAACACATCATATTGACATCGAATACAATTGCCGAAAATCTTGTGAAAACAACGAAAGAAGTGATTCAAATGCAACCGGCTGCACCCATCAACCAACTGCCAAATGCTGTTCCACTGGCCTCCGATAAGCTGCTCATCGAACAGACAACTCCAATTAACATGAAGAAAACCACCTCCGACATTTGATATAAGTTCAAACATTTTATACATCGGATGTGTTTCTGCAATACCATTCATTCGCTCAAGACATAAACCACTTTTTTCTTTGCATCAATTTTTCTTCTCATTGCTCTCAACACTTGCTTTTTGCTTGAGAAACAACCAATGCTCCAACTCGAATCTCTTCATTGGGATCGGGGTAAGTGCGGTATGGACAATTATTTAATTCGTTAGTCATGCAGCTCCAACAGAAAACGAGCAGTCGAACACGGACTCTCGCCTTTTGTTCAGCCAAATGAACACATATAATATTCGGTTTTAAATTCAACTTGCAATGTAAATAAATACCACAATTGAATTTATGTAGAGAAAGTGAGCAAGAGAATGAGGGAAAAATGCAAAACATTCTGCTCGGTTTAAAATATAGTTCTCAGTTTCTTTGTCAGCAAAAAAGTTTAAAAAAAAACACGCTTGTGTTTTTCATGTTTTTTTTTGTCTCTGTTTCGGGTTCGTGTTGAATGAACCATTTCATGATATGTTAATTGCAAGCGACAGTTTGTCATATGCAACAGCTAGAGGAATTTTGTTTCCGAACTAACGGCAGTCAAACGAGATCTACTCGACGATGACGCCATTTAATATAAATATCTATGAATGCAAGTTGTATTAATGAATTTTTAATACTACACACACACACACACACACACACACAATGAATGTTTAACAGATTAAAGCATTGTCGTGTCATGCATAACGAATGACATGGATATGGTATATCGTACGAATACACATTACACATAGTGTGCAAAATGGATGGACTTTGCAGAAATTACAACAACAAATTTATATAAATGCTTCTTTTACTCTTGGGCTGAACTAACTAGTCAACCGAATGGCCTCTGTTCCAAGAATGCTCTCATCATTTGATGCTTATTTTGTGTTGTTGGTATTATGTTCATTTTGTGCAGCAGCAGAGGTGTGATGATGATTGAGACATTTCATGGATGATTTGTATCCATTTTGTATGACCACTGAATACAGCTGTTTCGAATACGTTCAACAAAGTCATCGGTTTTAATCAAAAGGATTAATACACTGTACACATCTTTACTTTGGTCACTTCTCAAATCTTTGCTTTAGTCATTCTTCATCGTGAAGCAACGATTTCCACCAATTGAACACTGAGTCTGAAAAGATACAAAAAATGCTGATTCTTGTTGGAGAAATGTTGATGAAATTTGCAGAATCATGCAATTCTAATAGCATCCGGCTTCATATGGACTTAAAATCCAATTTGTAACATCCAAATTATATTTTGACAAATGTGAAGAAAAAAAATGTACTCTCGTAGCTTTCTTCTTGCAGATATAATACAAATGTTTGCCATATACATTTATTTCATTTCCGAATCATAAGTGAACGACAAAGTTGTTCTCCAGTTCAATTTATTCATTTCCCAGGGAAAAAAACGAACACCATTGACTTCCTACCGAACGAAAAACGGATGCAATTTCTAGGACGCAATGACAAAATGAGCATATAAAACCAACGAACTTCGATAAATGAGCAAAAAAAGAGATATTTGAGAAATGAAACGCCGAAAAAAAATCGAGCAGAAATCTAACGAAAAAAAAACTGTATGAACGGAATCAGAAAAATGCAACAAGCCAAACGGTTGAATAGTTTTCATGCCATTCGCAGTTCTAGTTCATCAGAAAATTCGACAAATGTTCTATATATGTACTTAAACTAGAGAGAAAAACAGCCATTAGAAGTTCATATGTTGAGTAGCTGTGGTATCAAAACGAACAAATCAAAAGCTCAAAAATCATATGTTAGAGTCGAATGGCAGCAGCAGCAGTAGCGGCTGCAGTAAATTGTTGACATTTGGAAAAAAAAAATTGCTGGTCGCTAAAGTTTGTGAACAACAACAAAGATTTAGTTTTAGGTATTTTTTTTTCTCGAGTTTTCTCTGTGGAATCACATCAATCACACTGATATTTAAAGCAAAATAAAAAGCAACTCCTTTTCCATTGTCAACCAATCAAGAAAAAATATATGTAAATAGAACTTAAAAATAATATAATGAATCCAAACCCAAGTACTGCCCATTTAAATGCCTGATTTCAAATACTCTAGACTCTATCATTAATTGTCCACAGGTCCACACTCCTTCCCGATTGACAATTACATTAACGAAATTGTGGGTGTATGAACGAGAACAATTTTATTCACAAAAACATACGTACGCATAATACGATGGCATTTCGAAATGAATGAAAGTTAAATGCTAGCATAGTATGTATCCAAGCGATGTATGAGAAGAGGTGGAAGGGTGTGTATTTGTATAAGAGAATGGTCAAAAGTTTCTAAAAGCAGAATGGCGATTGACTTTCTAGTTATGTTTCAGTGAGGATAGATACACACTGCCCTTGTTTATTTCGTGGCGTTTTTTTTTCCTTCGGAAAATCGGTTTATTCCACTTCATTTGAATGGCTATTGAACAGATACTTGGAACGCTTTTATTGGCAACCGGCTATTTGTACGAATTTTTGCGAAATCGAAATTGCGTACTGCACATAAAGAAAATTCGATTCCATCTATTTATAAGCTTGCGAATTAGTCGAAATGGAGGAAAGTGTGTGCATCATATCATGACAAATTTCGACCGTATTCTAGTTTAGTTCATGAAATATGAACACCGTTTTAAAAGCATTCAATGAATTTTAATAGCAAAAAATATACACACACACAAACCACCCTCGATACAAAATTCGTCCGAAATCGCCGAAGTTTTAGTCAATTCCAAAGTATAGTTTAATTGGCCCCAGCAAATGCGGATTAGTTTAGGATAAATTCACATTGATGCCATTATTTTTATCCAGTGTGGAGATAAAATAGAAAAGTGGAAGAGAGAAAGGGGGGGAGAGAGACATAGAGGTAGAAGCAAAGAGGGAAAGTTATAGAGACGAAGAGAGTTAGAGAGATATGGAATTTTGAGAGCGATTTAGTAGTAAATAGAGAAAGGGAAAGAGAGAGAAAGGAGACCATTCCTTCTACGTGGCGAGTAAACAGTTCGCCAACTGGATTGGTATCGTAGCGAATAGCAAAATTTAATTAATGAACAACAACAACAACAAAATTGTAGAATAGGAATAGGAAAACTATTCATCGACCGTAGATATTTATTGAATTCGATGTATGAATTATTTATCAAAAGCGGTAATCGAAGTGCATTTGTGTGAGAGGCGAGTGAAAACGATAGAACTGTGAACTCGATCTAGTCGACCCTCGTCACCTCACCAATCCAAACCCCAAAACCCAAACCCGAAATATTTGTTTATATGCACCGATACCGATGATCGATACGAACGAACGACCGTATGCACGAACAAAATGTAGAGACGTGAATGAATCGAAACACAAGACGAATGCCATTTAAATCAAATTTTATGGTACAATTAATTCACATAGAATAGAATAAATTACAAAGAAGAAAAAAACTACATACGACTTATAACAAATATGAAATGGAATTCCCGAATGTTTTTTGTACACAAACACAACCAATATTTTCCACTCCAATGATTATGATGATGATGATGATGATGATGATGATAATTTTTCGTGCACATTCCAGTTTTTCTTGTGTAACACCGAACAAATTTTTTTTAAACAATAAAATCCTTAGCATTTAGAAATTTGGTCGAAAACGACTTATTGTGATTGTTACAATTTTTGTAATTCATGTTGTTTCCTTTAATTTGTCTTCGTCTTCACACTCTGTGTGTAATTTAAACGCACTTTGAAAACACATTTTTAAACAAATCAAGATTTAAACATTTTATCTGGAATTTTGATGATCTGAACATTGTCATTTTGAATGAGACAAACAAAATTGATTTGAGCTGAAAATTGTCTTTTTTAGAGAGAAAAAACAAAAATGTTGTTAAATATGGTTTTTCTTACATGATGAAAAAAGAAATTGGTTTTTTGACCCAAGATAATGGGACAACGAGAGAAAAAAAATGGTTGGGAAAACCACAAATGTTGAATTCCTGTGCAAGAAAAATACGACAATCGCTCGACACGATTGTGGTCAAGCATGCGATAAGCGGCATGCTTCAAACAGGGACTTTAATACAGACAAATACACATACATACAATTAATCACAAGCAACATGTTTTGGATAGAACAAATGTAAACACGTGAATTTTGCATCGTAGAACAACAACAACATTGTTGATTGAGAGAAGAAACACAAAATGATGCAAGAAAAATTATGATATATCGATATATTTGATGTGCTAATGAATCGAACATGTAAATTAATCAATCATAAATGAGCAAGTTGTGTGCATTCCAGCAGCAATTGATTTTTTAAGGCGAATTAGAAAACGGTTTCGGCTTTGAGTTTTGACAAATATTTCTGTTTTTTTTTTACATCGATCGTTTCTTTTTTCCACTTTAAATCGTTTTACATTTACTTTTTCGTACAATCCAAATTTTCGTACAAAAAAACAGACTGCGAAAGAAAAAACCAAACGCCAAATCCTTAATTCCGAAGAAAAAAATTGTTTTAAACCAAGAAGAAGAAAAAAGAAATCAAAGCATATGGCTTTTGTTTAGTTTGTATGCATATTATAATCGAATCGAAAAGTTAACCAAAGATAGCTGTTTCCAAAGTGTCGATAAGGGTACTTTGATAGTGAATAAGGGATATTTAACTACATACAATTTTTAAAATGCAACAAAACAAACACAAACACACATACAAATATCAGATTGTTTATCGAATGAAGAAGCAGAAAAACCTCTAACGAGTAGAAATGACGAGAGAGAGAGAGAGTGAGAGAGGTGCAAGAGAAAGCGAAGAAAAATCACATGAATATTATTAGTTACGGTTTCATTTGAGATTCTCCGCAGTTTTCCGTTGTAGCGTGAATGTTGATGCGGTTTGTGTGCTTTTTTTCATTTTATTTCGTTTATATGACAACGGCAAACACAAGCCACTCTCACAAGCAGAGACAACAATACACAAGGACAAAGTTATACGGAAACTTTTAACGAATTGTGCGAAAATGTGTGAATTGTGGTTATAATACGAGAGAGAAAGGCAGAGAAAGAGAGAAAAAGACAGAAGAAGAGATCGAGAAAGAGAGGGAGAGGGAGTGGGATGTATCAAGAGCTCTTTGGTGCATCATGGCGAAAGGGCGAAATTGAGAGTAAAAACGATGGAAATGCGTACAAAATACGAACAAGAGCAAAACAAAGAAGAAAAAATCAGTGGAACTTTTCCACTGCAACACGAGTTTGTAGGCTAATTATTTACAATAATTTCCTTGCGTTTATTTTTTGTTTTCAATCGAATCGTTTGGTTTTATTGGTTTTCCGAAAATAAACTAATCAAATTTTCATTTTGTCGAAGATAGAGAATGAGAATTCGCCTTTTTGTGAAAGAAGAAAGAGAAATAAATCGAGTTTAACAAGTGGAACACAATGAGAGGCATCTTATGAACTTGTTGAATGTACGTTTTTTTTTTAGGGAAAATACACATTTTCGTTGGAATTAAACTCATAATAAGCAGCAAAATCGATGTGTAATTAGTGAATTAATCCGCGCACAGCATGATACACGGCAAAAGCAACAAAAAACGATACCATTTGGTTGTGGAAACGAAATAATAATTTATGAAATTTTAATACTTATTGAAAATATGTCGGAAAAACAAGCCCATTGATTAACCTTTTTTTTTAAATTGAAGCCCAAAACTGCCATGAACCTGATTTCAAAAAAATGAACTCGTTGATTTGCATATTTTAATTGAGTCTACAATCAAAATATTTGAAGTGCGTGCAAAATCAACAAGGAATTATGGGGTGCACGAAAAGAAAATGTGGATGAAAATAAAAATAAACGAAGAAGAATGAGAGCTTCATCACCCACTCCGTCTGAACATGGAAAATTACACGAATTATCGGTAAAGAAAAAACAATCGTCTCTCGCCCAAATGCAAAGAAGAGAAAAATATTGGCTTTAATATGAAAATCGATTGCACGGAATGCAAAACACACACATTTTTATGATTGTGAGAATGACGTGCGTAGTGAGGCAAACAAAAATTTGTGCTCATTTTAACGAGATGCAGAAAAAAAGACAATTTCAGTCACCAATTTGAATTGACTACAAAAGAATTGTATTTAAATGTGAAAATTATATTTAAAAAACAAAAAAAGATGGCAGACAACAACATATTTGGCCAGTTTTGTAAGTGGCACTAAATAAAACCACTCACCGTTGTATGTTTTGTTTTGTTCCTGTAAAAACCGAATTAAAAACTTAAAAAAAAAATGAGAATTCAACCAAAAAAAAACAGACTTTTTCAAAACCAATTGTATTTGCCATCCCGAAAAAAGCATGCAAATTTTACTCGCTAAAAATATAAAGGATGCATTCCGAGGGGCAAATCACTCTAAAGTAATTTGTAACAGAGAAAGTAATCGAGAAAGTAATTTACTTTAGAGTGATTTGCCCCTCGATGCATTCTCTTACCACAGCGTAACGTTTCATTGAATTAAAATTATTATTGTACCACAATACACACACTCACAGACACACATACAAAATTTAACAATCACAACAACAAAAAACCAACCGAATCAATAATGCATAAATAAATTTAACGTAGAACACAGCCAAAAAAATATATAGTGTTTCTCTACGTCTCTCTGGCCGTGCAAATGGATTTCATTGCAGCTACTGGGATGATACACCGTCATCGTTGCCGCATAAATGGGTAGGTATTGAGCAAGGTTTAACTCTTGCATAAATCTTGTGCTGAAAACGCAGCAGGTAAATTGTGTGATGCAAAACAATTCCAAGTATTCCAACCAGGCACAAAATTTGAATTTCTTCGTGGCTCTCTGCATCCAATGGATTCCGCAAGTGATTTCCATAGGCAAAAAAATGCTTTTAAGAACCAAATCCACTAGTTGCAACGTCCGAAAACTTTATCATCGTATATGTCATTCCATGGGAATATTTTATATCTTTTGCGCTCAATGAACCATTGTTCACCACTGAAAATCATCAAACTAGTTTTTGCTTCGGTTGGGAAATAGAATGCAGCCGTGAAACCGACACCACCGATGACAAAATATATTAACTTTACAAAAATTGATGCATACGAAACCCGCAGAAAGCAACGGGAAAAAAGAGAGAATCGCGCTCACGGCTCAAATAAATAACGACGAAATAATGAAATTGACTGTGGCCTTGACTGATGTTTCCATAATATCAACATCATCATCATACCGCAAATTGCCGGTGCAACAGCACAAAAATAGCTGCTCGTTATTTTTGCACGTTTTATATTCATTTTTTTTTTTCTTTCTCTCTCTCTCTCTCTCGTCTCATCTGTGGCTCTCATTCTCGACGTCTCTGTGTCTCGTGTTGATGGTGATGGTGATGGTGAGACTGACTGACTGACTGAGAGAGGGAGCATCTGCTGAGTTGTGGGTGGTGGGTTCGGGTCGCATAAAAGCATTTTGATGCATCGAGGGAAATTGCATTTGCAATGAATATGGTGCATAGAGCAAGAGGGAAAGAGAGAGATGAAGCAAAGCGCTTCTGATGGTTGTGTTTATGTTACCGTGACCGCGTACCATTAGAATAAGTAGCTGTTGCAAAACTGAAATAACGAAAACCATCAATTCTAATTAAATTGCACATTTGAGCATAGAATGTTGCTCAAGCCAATTTAAAATGATCGCTCGCTCTCTCACTGGAACAACACTGAACACACATTATCGTTAAAAGTAGTTTTAATTCGGCATAATTTGTGGTTTCAGCATTAAATTTTCTTAGAATTTATCGATTTACATTGCACAATTGAGGGCAAAAATGAAGAGAAATTAACTTATGCTCCGCATCATCAACGACATAACGATGCAAATAAATGAGACAATTTGTTAATCGATATGGACGAGTGAGACTGTGTGGAAATTTATTGGACGAAGGGTTCGTGAACAATCTCGGTCAATTGGCAGATGAAATGAGAGAGAGAGAGAGAGAGATTCGTATGCATTTCACAAGCTCTTCAATTCAAAATTCGGTGCACTGTTGCGTTTGCGGTGTTTTTTTTTCTCCTTTGTAAAATATAAATGCACATTTTTTGATCATCACATAGAATTGAAACCAATTTTTATTTTTTTTTCTCCAATAATTGATTCAATTTCATAAATTAATCGATATGATGACCAAATAAAATCATTCCCATTAAAATGAAACCCATCAATTTGTATTTCAGTTCACTAATTTATGAATGAAGAGCAATCTCTCTATGTATGAGAAACTATTTTTGGTTGGTTTTAATTTTTTGCTTCCACACTTTCCCTCCATCAACTCAATTTTTTTTATTCGTATGCTTTTCTGGGCAACAATGTCTATATTTTTATTTTTCATGAAATGGTTTTGTCCTTGTACGACGATAACATTTTCACTGAATTATTAACGAATTTCTAATTATAAATTCAAACATGGGCAACTGCAATAAGAGTGCTGTAAAAAAAAAGAAGTCAGATGACATTCAACATAACCTCAATGTTGTTATTGTTGTTTTTCTTTCTCGTTTTTTGACACAACGTCAAGCCTGTGTATTGATGGCATTGATTTTCATTCGATTTTCGGAATTGAAATTCGGTGCTACTTTGAATCAGTTCTATTTTCTTATTTAGTTTGCTTTAAATAAATTGAAAAGTAAAAGTCCGATTCGGTGTGGTGTAAAAAATGTTTGTGAAACCATTTAAACTGAAAAATAATACGCAAATCAAAAGTACGGAGCGAAAGAAGTTGCGTACAAAAATTGAAACCGCATTCGCACTCAACGAAGATGATCTGAATAAATTGTTGCCGAGCAAGAGTACGTTGAATCAAGTGAAATTGATTGTTAATGCCGGGCAAATGGTCACCGTTTATACATGCGATCGACGGCCAATGTTCTTTGAATTTAGCCCGAGCGGCGATGATACAAAGCAAGTGTTGGTGCCAACGGTTTATTCGATGTGGATTTTGCCGGAGCTGGTTCCATCATTCACAACACATGCAGCGGTTTTGCCTCGATTGGCTGGTGGTGCTGATTTAATGCTTCCCGGTTTGTTCAGAAAACTTATTTCATCTCTCGCATTTTTATTCTCGTTTTTAGACTCTTTTTTTTCTAATATACACGGCACTTCTTCATTTTAGGTATCATCAAACAAGGTACTGGTTACTCAACATATGGAAATTATGCGCGTGATGCGGTTGTTGCTGTGAATCTAACATCAAATCGAAGTGCAGTGGCTGTTGGCCTATTGGCACGATCAAGTGCTGACCTGTATATGGCTGCCAATCAAGGTGTTGGTGTGAAAATTCTGCACGTTTTCGGTGATAAATTGTGGGGCCTTGAACCGGCAGTATGTCTTCAAGTGCCAAATGCTGGAGCTATAGTTAAACCACCGACAATGGATGATTTTCCAGCTCTTGGTGAAACGAGAAAACCCGTTGCCGTTGAAAAGAAAGTTATTGCACCTGCGGCCGCTCCAGAGTCCGTGTCTGAGACACAACTCGAAACCGATATGCAAAATGTGGATATTTCCAAAGACGATGGCGAATCGGCCGAAGAACATGATGAATCTGCTGAAGTGGCTGAATCACCGGACGATAAATTGAAACGAGCCTTTTTGTTGTCAATCAAAAAAATGGGCAAAAAACCACCAACACCACTGCTAACAAGTAATTTCTATCGGAATCACATTTTAGAAGCGGACAGTGGTATCGATATCAAGAAAACATCGTACAAAAAACTATCGAAATTCCTGCAAGAAATGGCCAGCTACAATTATCTCACAGTCAAAGAAGAGCCGAAAGGTGTTGAAAAGATTGTAGCCATCAATATCACGCATCCGGATGTAGTGAATACAATATTAAATGTGTCAGACAGTGGGCCACAGTCTGAGTCGAAAGCCACTGGTTTGTTTGTTACCGAAATGAAGGAATTGTACACTGTAACGAGCGACACAATGAAATTCTTTAATATTTTCGACGTAAAGTGTGGTGAAGGCATCGAACCGGCTCAGGTGAAAAAATACGTTAAAGAATATGTTTGTAATAAGAAACTTCAAGATCCGGCCAATATTCGTCAAATTCGTGTGGATGAAATGCTGCGCGAAGTGTGCCAATTGGATGAAAGCAACAAATTGGTGCCGTTTGATGTGATCTTAGCGACGATTACCGATCGCATGGATCATAGCTATGCCATGCGAAATCGCAACGAACTGAAAACTAGCGGCAAACAAAATACCATCAAAATGACACTGGCCACGAGATGCGGAAATAAACAGGTCACTCTGATTGATGGCATGGAATTGTTTGGTATTCGATTGCAAGAATTTGCACAAGCTTGTAAGGTCGGTGTTGCGGCCAGCACATCGATCATTCGTCCCGACTGTCCGGCCAACGCTAACAAAGGCCAGCTAATGGTGCAAGGCAATCAAGTTCGATTTGTACACAAACTGCTCACTGAAACGTATAAAATTCCACCGAAATTCATCACCGGACTCGATCTTGCCAAAAAAGAGAAAAAGAAAAAGAAGTAAAACACGAACACATATTTTTGATTCGGTTGATGTTTGTCATTTTTATCGTTTCACAATGAATAAAATATGATTTTAAACAAATTTTACAAGAGTTTTATTTTATACATTCCAGAAGCGCCATCTACAGAAAATATTAAAGCTTCCGTTGACTTCAGTTGAGGTAATGGAAATTTTGAATCTATGGACTTGTTTAGAGGTTAGTCGTGATAAAAACCCAAATTTTAGCACAACACATACCGATTTTATTCCACTTTGAATAACGGCAAATTTTGTACAACTGTGTCGTTCAGATGAAAATGGTATGAAATTATTAAATAACTGCAGTCTTTTAAAGCATAATGAAATAAACATCTGCAAAGTTAGGTGATTCATTCTTGTTTTTATAGAAAATGTCAAGGAGAATTGTAAATGCAAGAAAAGTCAAAGAAAAATCCAAGTTTCTATTTCTAACATCATAGTACGTAAGACGTTTGGAAGAAAACGAATTTTGAAGAAATAATCATAGAATATATCATCGACTTTTTTCATTTCAAACTCTAATAGACTAAGAGCCAGTGATAGTAGACTATCACCTCATAAAATTCCTGGATCATAGTACTAATAAAATGATTTAGTCAACATAACAAACAAGAAAGTATTTTAGAGCACAAGAAAAAAATATGTCCTTCTTATTAATCCGTGCTCCTGGATATTTACCAAATAAAAAGTTTTACGAGCGTAAAACGGACTTTTCCGCACAAGTATTTTTTTATATGCTTACAGGTCAATAAAATACATTTGAATGAAAAAAATGAGATAAAAGATAATGGCCAGCATATTATAACACCATCATATTTAATGACAGCTGACCGCGAAAAAGAGCCAAAGTAATCATGTAAAATGTATATTTTTAAATGAAAAAAAGTTGAAAATAAAAATTAAAAAGAAGACCATCATGGTTGACCAATCATTTAACACGGCTAACGATAAGAAAATGATATAAAAAACCAGAAAATGCATTTTGAAATGAAAAAAGTTGAAAGAAAAATTCAAGAAAAATAGAAAAAAAGTCAATCATGGTCGGCCATCGTGTTATAAATCATTTAACACGGATTAACATGATAAAATCGTGTTAAAACAAATCAAAAGTCCGTTCTATGATAACAAGAAAAAAAAAAATTCAAAAAAATCCAAGGGTCCTTGGGTGAAATTCTATAACATCCGAAAATTACCAGATGAACTAGTCCAATTTGGCCCAACTTTTGATACATCCAAGGTTTTTACTAATAGTGACTCCTGGCCAAATTTGAGCGAAATCGTTCAAGCGGTACGAAAGTTATCGTGGACACAACCAAAAATCGTAGTTTTTGGGCCATCATGGTCGGCCATCGTGTTATAAACCATTTAACACTGCCTAATATTATAAAACTATGTGAGAACGATACAACAATCCACTCTAGGTTGATGAAAAAAGACATTTTTTCTCGACATAATCCAAGGGGGGGCCCTTGTGTGATTTTCTATGATGTCCCAAAAGTACCAGATGAACTGGTCCAATTTGGCTCAACTTTTGATACATCCAAGATATTTACTAATTGTGACTCCTGGCCAAATTTAAGCGAAATCGCTTGAGCGGTTCGAAAGTTATCGTGGACACAACAAAAATTAGCACACTTTTTATCACGTCGATCGCTATACTTTTCTACAATAAAAAATTAAAATTCCCATATGATATTTTTACAACAAGTTTATTGAGGTAAAAAGAGCACAAATTCAAAATATCCGCATTTAATTTTTTGTCTATACATGTGAATTTGAGCCATTCTGTTTAGCTGGTCCGAGCCTCAAATTTGCTTGGTTTTGACAGCTGTATTGAACGCACTCATCGTACCAATGTACAATATACAGCTGTCAAAACCAAGCAAATTTGAGGTCAAAACCAAGCAAAATCTTCAACATTATCATACATATGTACGAAACAAATGAAAATAATCGAATATAATATTGGTTTACTCTAGCCAAGCGTCGCCCGCTATGCACACAACACGTTGCAATGATAATAGTTTTTTTTTTCAGTAGAATAATAACAGACTTAAAAGTCATTGATTTTCATGTAATTGTATTAATGCTGTTACGACATGCATTATTTTAAATATATTTATCAGCACTAACATAGTATGTCAAACGGTTTAATTATTTCGGTATTTCAATGGACGCATGAGCATAAATCAACGATGACAACGACATCATCATACAGTCAACAAAATATTTCCATGAAATGAGTTGCTTTTCATGAAATAATAAACATTTTGATTGAATTATTGGTTTAACAATTTATAAGTACAAAGTTTATATATACATAAACGAATAATACATATAAAAGATTACATGACATCTTTGCTCAGAGCTCAGTTATCAGTACTCATTTACGCAGAAAAATTTGTTTATTCTTATACACCGAAGACTGTGCAATGTGCATAAGCTATGATTGAAAGCGTCATAACCATATACAGTCTTAAAAATAGTTTATAATGGATTCAAACGTATAACGTATGTCAAATTCGCACAAATAAATTGGGAGCTTGATCCATTTTTTGGTATAAGTATGGATCCAGTTGGTCTTATTGGAATTAGTCAGAGAACACTATTGAAGAGATGAAGTTCAATTTAGTAGCTGTCTTGCTTTCATTATTCGCGCTCGGCCTATCTCATCAGGACACTAGTGCAGATGACAAATCACATGGTATTCAGCTCGTCTCTCCGAAGGATAAGACATTTGTCTTAAATGGAGCCGCATTAAGTTCCATCCTAAACAATGACGACTTGGAAGATCGTCACCTCGTTATCATTTCAATTGCTGGTCCGTTTCGACAGGGCAAGAGTTTCTTACTTAATTTCTTCATAAGATATTTGAACGCACAAGTAACGTAGACCGTAAACCAACCATATCTTCGTGTCCTTGAAGCTCATTCCATTTTGATCGATTCCATCAATTTATTGACATTTATTTTATCATTTTATTGAACAGTACAAAAAACACGATGCATCGAATTGGCTCGGGGGCGATGGCCCACTGGAGGGATTCAAGTGGCGAAGTGGCCAGAAACGTGAGACAACGGGTATTTGGGTTTGGTCAGATTTTTTCACTCACGACTACGAAGACGGGCGGAAAGTAGCGATCATCCTAATGGATACGCAAGGTGTATTTGATCATCAAACGTCTACCCAAGATAACATTTTGATCTTTGCCTTGAGCATCATGAGCTCTTCGGTTCAGTGCTACAATTTGATGCAAAACATCAAAGAGGATAATTTACAACATTTGCGATTGTTTAGTGAATATGGTCGCATATCTCTGAACCATACATCTGAAAAGTCATTTCAAAAACTGTTGTTTATCGTGCGAGACTGGCCCTTTGCACATGAAACTGGCTATGGTTGGAATGGAACGAAAACTGTTGAAAACATTATGAAAATCACCGAAGATCAGTCGGATGAAAATACCGCGTTGAGGAAACAGCTCCGACAGAGTTTCAACGAAATCGATGGCTTTTTAATGCCCTCACCGGGTGAAATCGCGACCAAAAGTGGTAGTTTCACGGGTGATTTGAATGAAATCGATCCCAATTTCAAGACATACGTTAAGATCTTAGTGGAAGAACTTCTTTCGCCTGAGAAACTTATCGTGAAAAAAATCGGTGGCCAAGAATTGACAATTCAAGATTGGGTGCGGTATTTGCAGTCATCTATGGAAATGTTTAAAGGGGACCAACTACCAAAACCGAAAGACATGTTCCAGGTTTCTCCGATTTCGCTTTTGATGTTTATTTTTTTAATATTTATCGTGTATTCATTTCTCAAAAATAGATGACCTTGGAAGCGAGTCAAAAGAAATTATTCAGTGATTCCTTAGCGAATTATGTGAAAAAAATGACGAAAGCTCTTAATAGATCAGAACAACCTCAGAGTGATGGTGATTTCATAGCTACCCATCAAATGGCAAAAGATGAAACATTTGAAGAAGTAATTACAAGTGAACAGAAAGAAGTATTGTTACATAAATGATTCATATGATTTCGATTTTTTATAGTTTGATAAAGTTCCCAAGTTTGGCGACGAAACATCCATATCTGTTCTTCATGGAGAAATCGAAAAAGCAATTGAAAAAAAATCCAACCATTTTGTGAAAGAGAATGATATGAAGCACGCTGCTCATAATGTAATTGTGATTTCTTAAGCTAATGGTTTTATTGGATGTTCTTGTATAGCGTTGCTAATTTCAATTTTTTCATATCAATCTCTTCGCAATTTTTTCATTTCAGAAAAATATAACCGAATACAACCGACTGTTAGCCAATCAAATTGAATATAGAGTCAGAGATAAATTCTTGAAAGAATTTGAGCTTAAGCCAGAACTTACCACATTTGTTGCTAGGTTCCATTTAGCTAAATTCGGGGCATTGCAAGAAGTGAGTGAACGATTTAATAATATTTGATGCACTAAAAGATGCAAACTGATTGTCATTCTTTTAATAGTTTGATCATAAGATGATGGGTGCATCCGAAAATGCACAAGGCTTACGTAATAGACTTGAAAGACACTTGTCTGAATTGGAGCATGCTCTAAGTGAGGCTATTATTCACAAACTTGCAAAAGTGGCAAAAGACGCTAAGGATGCACAAGATGCACAGCAGAACGCAATAAATGCACAGATTGAATCAAATGCAACAGGTGAACATCCAAACCCAGTAGCCTTACTAACTATTTTGCTAAAGCTTGGTTGCTTATTTATCACGAGCATTGTTTGTTAGTTATCATTGTGATGGACACCACTGAATACTTTAACCTGACAACCAACCAATCATGTGTCTGGTTCTACAGTGGAAAATTTAACAAATAGAGACAAATTGAATCCCAATATGGTTTTCGTTGTTTTTCTTGATTGCATACTTGTTAAGATGAATCAATTGACTATCATTTGAAGCAAAATATAAGCTCACACAAGAGCTACATGTATGTTATTTATACATAGTAGGTTCTGGATACATTTAAAAATTATTTAGATAGAAACAATGGAAAAAAAATGAATATGCAGGAAGGTCCAAACGTTTTGACGGCATTGTATAGTCGATACATTGTATTCTCTCGAATATAGAAGACAGAAAAACTGACTAATTCTGTTATGAAACCACGAACTAAATTGCTATTAGAATTGGTCCAAAATATTGGCACTAGTTTCTTTCAGTATGATCTTGTTGTTTTTGTTATTTTGGATCCGCAAAGCATCAATAGTTTATGGCATAACAGGAACTCAACAATGATAACCAAAGGTAAACACGCATCTAAGAATTTTACCAAAGCTTGGAGACTGTTGTCTTTCATATTCTGTCCTCATTCTTTCTCTATACATTTCATGTCGCAATCTATTTTGTTCCGACAAGTCTCTTTGTTTTTCATCGACTTTTTGTCTCAGTTGGTTCTCCAAAGAATTCAACCCTTCCTCAAGGCTATCGCGAATGTTAGAAGCATCCCCATGTTCGCCTATCACACTATCATCAAACTAAAAAAAAAAACAATCATTCTGGTGTTCTAAATTATATTTGATTCATCACTCACCCGGTTCAATGCGTTTGTCTTTGCTATATAAAATCGTTCAAGGATTTTCGCCGGTTCTCTGGTATAATGCAAATTTCTTGTAAGTTCCCAAGTAAAATCTTGCATTTCGCCTGCGATTTTTTCTTTTGAATTACGATTTTGTCCAGCAAAATATTCCTGAAATCAAACAAAAACTATTTTAGTAATATTGCTAAAATTACGACAATCTCTTTGACTCTCTTTAGTGGACCAAATTGCAAAGGTATACATACAGTGAGAATTTTATCATTTTGGTTTTTGAAATACCAGAATTTCCCTTCAATGGCTCTGTCAATTTTTTCTCGAAGAGATGACGTGGATACATCGTCACCAAACTTGGGAACACTTTCAAACTATTAGAATATTAGACAAAAATCAGACTCCTTCAATGATGACCCGATTTTACTTCGATGATAATAATTAATACTCACATCGTTGAATATTTCATTTTTTGTATTTTCATGAAATTGCCTGAATTCATTTTTGCTGAAACGGTTTCCATTTGAATGACTAAGAGCATCGAACATTTTTTTATCATATTTCGCCAAGGAATCGTCGAATAGTTTTCTATGGCTCGCTTCTAAGATCATCTAATTTTGAGAATGGAATATCCTTAATGCATTGCTTATCATACATAAAAAGAGAAATGCGGAAAATATACCTGGAAAACGTCTTTCGGCTCTGGTATTTCGCCCCTTTCAAACATCTGCACATATGACTGCAAATATCGCACCCAATCCTTAGTTGTCAATTCTTGGCCGCCGATTTTTTTCACGATAAGTTTATCGGGCGAAAGAAGTTCTTCTGCCAAAATCTTCACATATGTTTTAAAATTGGGGTTGATTTGATTTAAATCTCCTCTGAAATCACGCCCTAAGGCCACAACGTTTCCTGGTGACGGCATCAAAAATCCTTCGATTTTCATAAAACTCTCTTTTATCTGTTTTCTCAATTCGATATTTTCAGCTGCCTGATCTTCTGAATAATCAAGAATTTCTTCAACAGTTTTCGTTCCATTCCAACCATAGCCAGATTCAAATGCAAATGGCCAGTCTCGTACGATGAACAACAGTTTTTGAAATGACTTTTCGGATGTTTTGTCGAGAGATAATTGGCCATAATTACTAAACAATCGTAGACTTTGTAAATTATCCTCTTTGATGTTGTGCATCAAATTGTAGCATTGAACTGAGGACATCATTAGGCTCAAGCCAAAAATAAAAGTGTTTGTTATTGTAGACGTTTGATGATCAAATACACCTTGCGTATCCATTAGGATGATCGCTACTTTCCGCCCGTCTTCGTAGTCGTGAGTGAAAATGTCTGACCAAATCCAGATGCCCATTGTTTCACGTTTCTGGCCATTTCGCCACTTGAATCCCTCTAGAGGCCCAGCGCCCTCAAGCCAATTCGATGCATCATGTTTCTTGTACTGTTTAATGAAATGATATGATAATGCCAATAAATTAATGGAATTAGCTTCAAGGGCACAAGGATAAACTTGGTTTTCGGTCTACATCACCTGTGCGTTCAAATATCTTATGAAGAAATTGAGTAAGAAACTCTTACCCTGTCGATACGGACCAGCGATTGAAATGACAACGAGGTGGCGATCTTTCAAGTCGTTATTGTTCAGGATGAAATTTAATCCGGCTTCATTCAAGTCAAATGTCTTATCCTTCGGAGAGACGAGCTGAATACCATGTGATTTGTCATCTACACTAGTGTCCTGATGAGATAGGCCGAGCGCGAATAATGAAAGCAAGACAGCTACTAAATTGAACTTCATCTCTTCGATAGTGTTCTCTGACTAATTCCAATACGATCAACTGGATCCATACTTATACCAAAAATTGGATGAAGCTCCCAATTTATTTGTGCGAATTTGACATACGTTATACGTTTGAATCCATGATAAACTATTTTTAAGACTGTATATGGTTATGACGCTATCAATCATAGCTTATGCACATTGCACAGTCGTCGGTGTATAAGAATAAACAAATTTTTCTGCGTAAATGAGTACTGATAACTGAGCTCTGAGCAAAGATGGCATGTAATCTTTTATATGTATTATTCGTTTATGTATATATAAACTTTGTACTTATAAATTGTTAAACCAATAATTCAATCAAAATGTTTATTATTTCATGAAAAGCAACTCATTTCATGGAAATAATTTTGTTGACTGTATGATGATGTCGTTGTCATCGTTGATTTATGCTCATGGTTCCATATTTATAGAGAAAATTTAATCAAGCTCTAAATTTGTTTATGTGAATCTGACCAATTTCTCGAGAAGTTTAAAACATCCCACTTAAACTATTATTGGGGCTACATATGTCGTTATAATCGTTACTCATGCATCCAGTGAAATATTGGAATAATTAAATTGTATAACACGCAATATGCTGATAAATAAGTTCCGAATAAGAATTTCGTAACCAAATCTATGTGCTTTAAAGTCATTTTTTATACATATGTTGGGAAATGCAACCAGAGCGTGTTATAAATTGATATCAGCTGCACTAACTGACGTTAGCTATTGGACTTCACTGCATGCACATCGTATTGAGAAGAGAGTAAGAGATCGAGAATCATCGCATGAGTTATGAATGTGACAGAAAGAGAATACAGTAGTGTCCATACCAATAAGACCTAATACGAGGTGTTTTTTGTTGAACTGGCAGATTGAATTGTCAAGTATTGCCGCCTTCAGTAACTCGCGCGAAAACCGACAATAAACAATGTAGCACACCAATACCGAAACAACAAAATACACGCACACAGACACGAATAATATTTCATCATAATCTGTGTTGAATGCTGTCGCTGTTATCGTCGCAGTAGCTAACACCCGTTGATGCTGCTGATATCAGTTCAAAAGACGTTCTGAATGCAATAAAAAAATTAAATTAAATTAAAATAAAAAAGGTAGTATTAGGACATGAATAGATTTCGTATAAAGAAAAAAATGATAGTGAAATGCAAAGACGAATGTAGAATTATCTTAGGATGAATACATGTTCAGAGAGTAAAGTTCAGAAGAAATTGCTTATCATCGAAGTCAAATTGTAAATAAAGTAATGGTTAATTAACAAAGATTGCACTTATAAATATCAGGAAGCGACATTTATTGATGTGCCAATAAACTGTAGTGCATTGATCTCGCATACGCATTAAGATTACATTTCGTATTGCACTTGAATTCAACATGTGGTAATTAAACATTGTATTTAATTTCAAGACGGAAATGTTATCAAAATAACTGGATGTCATTTTCCAGAGTCAATTCTTGTTGCGAAAGCGAACACAAAACCAGTGATATGCATCTTACGACGTAATTTTGGAATGATTCGGATTTACTTTTTGAATTCTTTTGGAAAATTTCTACATAGAAGCGAGTTCAACTAATGTGCACTCGTCAGTCGCGTCTACTGTCGCTGGCTGTGATTAAAACATGAAATGCAATCAAAAAGTCATAAAAAAAACAAAACAAATAAAACATCAAGTTTTTTTTATTGTAATTCAATTGTTTATCATTAGTGAATCCTTTCGGGGAATGAGAAAAAAGTTAAAACACAATGACATCATTGATTTTTGTGTGTTGGTGTCAGCATCAATGATATGAATTTAATAGGGGCTCAACAAGCAAGACCGAAAGAAAGGGTGCAGCCCAAAGATTTCCAGAAGGATAGTTTATTAGCTTGTGCTAATTTAGCTTCCATTTGTTCCATACGTTTCATCATTTCATCATTTTTCTTGTTCTCAGTTATTTCGGTTATGGCTTGAGTAAGGACAGCCTCAAATGCTGATAGTTGCCTCTCGAGCCTATCACGGAAGACATCTGCTGTTTGAGCATCACCCATCACCTTATCGTCAAACTATCAAAGGAATAACAATCATTTTAGTGCTCTAAATATTTGTTATATGATACATAGGATATAATAAATCACTCACTTCAGCTACAGCGTCCACTTTGGCTGAATTGTAACTGACAAGCAATGTAGACGTATCTGGATTTTCGGTCAACTTTTTCAAATGCTTTTCCCTGATCCGATATTCGATTTGTTTGACTAGCAGCCGGTTGTGTTCTGTAGTATTTTTCTAAAACAATGAAAAAGACATATGGAACATTCATTTTTTTTCCAAAACCCAACTGAGCAACTTGCAATATTTCTAATATAACCAAAAATTATATTTATTAAACATACAATGTTAGCAGCATGTTTCATGTCATTTTCGTCCTTGAAATAGAAGAACTTCTTTTCAACGGCTTTGTTAATTTCCTCTCGAAGATATGATACAGATGCATCGTCACCAAGCTTAGGAATTTTCTCGAACTATTGAAATTAAAAACAAAACAAAAAATTCAGAAGAAATCATTAAAATGAGCCGATTGGCTTTACCTCTTTGAATATTTCATCTTTTGCTGTATGGTGACAAACCATGAAAGCATTGTCGTTGAGGGATTCTCCCGATTTGCTAAGAGCCTCCGTCATTTTTTTCGCATATTTCACCAAGGAATCATCAAACAGTTTTCTTTGGCTCGCTTCCAAGGTCATCTAATTTTGAGAAACGAAATCTCTTAATACAAAGCAACAAATATCAAAAGCAAAGTCGGAAAATACCTGGTAAATATCCTTTGCTTCCGGTATTACGCCTCCCTTGAATATCTTTAAATATGACTGCAAATACCGCACCCAATCTTTGATTGTCAATTCTTGGCCACCGATTTTTTTCACGATAAGTTTATCGGGCGAAAGAAGTTCTTCCACTAAAATTTTCACATATGTCTTAAAATCGGGATCGATTTCATTCAAATTACCCGTGAAATTGCCACTTTCGGCCACGATTTCACCCGGCGAGGGCATCAAAAAGCCATCGATTCTGTTGAAACTCTGTCGAAGCTGTTTTCTCAACGCGGTATTTTCATCTGTCTGTTCTTCGGTAATTTTTAGAATGTTTTCAACAGTCTTCGTTCCATTCCAACCATAGCCGGTATCATCTGCATATGGCCAGTCTCGTACGATGAACAACAGTTTTTGAAATGACTTTTCGGATGTTCTGTTCAGAGATAAGCGACCATATTCACTGAACAATCGCAAATGTTGTAAATCGTCCTCCTTGATGTTCTGCATCAAATTGTAGCACTGAACCGAAGAGCTCATGATGCTCAAGGCAAAGATCAAAATGTTATTTTGGGTAGACGTTTGATGATCAAATACACCTTGCGTATCCATTAGGATGATTGCTACTTTCCTCCCGTCTTCGTAGTCGTGAGTGAAAATGTCTGACCAAACCCAAATACCCGTTGTCTCACGTTTCTGGCCACTTCGCCACTTGAATCCCTCCAGTGGGCCACCGCTCTCGAGCCAATTCGATGCATCGTGTTTTTTGTACTGTTTAATGAAATGATAAAATAAATGTCAATATATTAATGGAATCGATCAAAATGGAATGAGCTTCAAGGACACGAAGATATGGCTGGCTTTCGGTCTAGGTTACCTGTGCGTTCAAATATCTTATGAAGAAATTAAGTAAGAAACTCTTGCCCTGTCGATACGGACCAGCAATTGAAATGACAACAAGGTGGCGATCTTTGAAGTCATCATTGTTTAGCATGGAACCTAATTCGACTTCATTCAGGTCGAATGTCCTATCCTTTGGGGTGACGAGCTGAATACTATGTGGTTTGTCATCTTCACTTGTCTCGTGATAAGAAACGCCGAGCGCAAATAACGAAGACAAGACGGCTACTAAATTGAACCTCATCTCTTCGATTGTTTTCTCTGACTGATTCAATACGACCAACTGGACCCATATTTATACAGAAAATTTAATCAAGCTCTTAATTTGTTTGTGTAATTTGATATACATTATACGTTCGAATCCATGATAAACTATTTTTAAGGCTATACATATATTGTTATGACGCTATCAATCAAAGCTTATGCTCACTTTATAATCTCAATACTTACTCCTATGAAATGAACTGTTGATCAAAATTGAACATTTCGCATGCGTTCCCTCGAAATATGCCGAGTTTCTTCATGATTTTGATGAATAAAAACTAACACACTTCCAAAAAAATTGGCAGACACTAAAGTGAACATAACATTTCTGGACATTTAGATTGCTAATCAAGTCACAACCGAATAGTGCATTATGCATTACAATATCAACAATCAAATTGTTGACACACCGTAAGTCTGGTTTGTTTTCGAATCAATGTCTAAACTTTTCAACTAACCATTTTGTACACTACACAAATTATTTTTAACGTCATTTGGCCAACAAACATTTTCGAGCTCGATAAAAATACACATTATGGCATTTAACAAGAATGGGAAACAGAAATTGATAACAGCGTACTGCATTGAAAGCGTATATCAATAGAATGAAAAGTAAATAAGTCAATTACAGCATATTCAAAGAAATCCTGTGAATAAACAATTACTAGCGAATTATTTGACTTGATTTTGGGGAATTTTCATGACTTCAACTGAAGTAAATAACTCCAAATGTAAGGAAATATTTTCGAATGAACGATATGCTAGCAATTGGCTTTCCTTCATCGAATTCCAATTACTTCGATGGTAAAGTTGAGCAAAAGGCTCATAACAAAAAAAATCGTCGTCGATGCATGGAAAGAACCTACCGCAGCTACGAAAAAACATTGCTGCAGTAAATTTCTTTTTAGATTCGGTTGTTGTTGTCATTTTTTTCATCGTTTCCATAAAATTCGATTTTAAACGAGTATTCCAAGAGTTTTATTTCACACACTCGAGCAGTCTTAGGAAAGGAGCGCCATCTACAGAAAATATTGAAGCTTCCGTTGACTTTGGTTGAGGTGATAAACTTATTAAAACTATGTTTGATTGAAAGTCAGTCATGATATAAACCCGATATTTTAGTACCAATTTCATTCAATAAAAGGATTTTGAATAAGGACAAATGTTGTTTTGCTATTTCAGAAATAATCATAAAGAAAAATAGGCTTTTCAATCTAGCTTTCAAAGAAAATGGGAATCTTTTAAATGTAGGGAAATCCAAATAAAAATCTAAGTGGACATCCACTTTGAAACACAAAAAAGGGAAAAATAAAACACAGAAAAAAAACCATCCAGTTTTGATAAGAAACGTTTTATATTCAATATTTATGGAATAGTTAGAATTTAATAATTGATTTTCTCTGGCCATAATACAATCCGAAAATCAATGCTGCACGGCTACTGGCCTATCGAATTCACTACGTATAAAAAGTCTTAGTCTACACTTCTTTCTTATTGAATCTCTTAAGTAAAACTTAAACAATCAAAGTGCCCTTTAATCCGCTTTCATTATTCCGATTGTTCTCTTCATTTACTATAAATATTGCTCTAAAATATACTGTCCACAGACACAGACACAAATACAGAATTAAGGAGGGAATCTATTGTACGCATGTTAGAGTCAATGTCTTTTTTCAAGTCGAATTTCAAAGAAAATTCTGAATTGATTTCCAGGGAAAACACAAAGAATGTACAAAATGTGCAGTGCACACTTTCGATTCGATTTCGGTTTTTCACTGGTAATTTTGATTCTTCAACTTTCTTTTGTCAATTTGCTGTCTATTCGAATTTCACATTTCAATTTTTTTAGGAAGATAACTTCTGTAGTTCAAACGATTTTTGACCCAATATGGAATAAGCTCAATTTAATCTGATCGATCGATATAATTGTTTTTATATAAAAAATCGAAAAAAATCACACCCATTGATCTCCTGGTGTGTCGTATCAATATCGATTAATTAACGATTTAATCACATGAGTATATTCGTGAGACGTAAAAGAATGTATGTTTTTTTGTCGATTTATATTTTTGAAAAGGAAAGTATGTTTACTGTTGATTCTATCTGCGTTAAAAGGAAGTATGTATGTTGGCATCCCGTCTAGCTTCCGCGTCTTTTCACGGTTTCCGCGGAACTGATAAGAGATAACAACTTGTTGTCTTCGACAAAGTTGTAGTACTCGAGGTCTTCTTTTACATTGCTGAAGACATCTATCGCGCACATCGCAAATCGCGCACATAAAAAAGCAAATTTTATATAGAACTTTTTTTTCTTATCATTTTTCGCGCTTTTCGCCATAGATAAGAGATAAGACCTCGAGTGCTACAACTTTGCCGAAGACACCAAGTTGTTATCTCTTATCAGTTCCGCGGAACCGTGAAAAACCGCGAGGACCCGCTAAAAACGAACATACATTCTTTTAACCATTTTTAGTTGCAATGAAATATACTTCTCTTTATTGCTACGAAGTTGGACCAACTTGGGTTCTTTTACGATATATGGAATGGTCATTTTATTTTATTCGTCCGCATTACAGTGAATAATAAGATATTTTGAAAGAAAACTTCCGACTTGTCATTAAATACTTTTCTGAATGGGTCTTTTCCAAATTGGATAAAGTGTATTGAAAGTTCCAATATTTTCGATGCATAGATCAAGTAAAAACTCCAAGCCACAGTACAGTATTGACAGAAAATCTTGTTTTAATAATAAAGAAATCGCTTCATGCGTATTTTGTCCATATCAACCGTGAGAAAAATTAAAACTGAACGTGAAATAAATGAGATTGATTACCATAAATATTCGGAGAAAAACAAATTCCCTAGAACTGGTGTTGTTCAGTAGCGTTCGTACTAATTAAATTCAGACTTTTTAAAGCTATATCAAAAGTTGCGTTGTCGTGCGTAAGAGATGAAACCGAAGAGAAAAAACTTTAATTTGTGTGTGTGTGTGTTGTGTCGGTAAAATACGTGGCTAAATTTTAAATAAGATTTAGTGTGACTTAATCACTAACGAACTACTAGTTGTACAGTTGAAGCAGCTGATAGCTGTGTGTCTCTGTGTGTGTGCTGTTGGCTGGATGTGAAGATTACACACAAGAAAATTAATAAATTCGACATAATTTTGTTTCTTCCGTATCTTCTCTCGTAATCTTCGTACCCAACCATCGTTGACACATTGTTTTTCATTGTCAGCTTTTGTTGAATCTTAATCATTTATACTGGGCGCTCTTGAAAATTGTCTCTTGAAAATAAATTATTAAATATTTTGTAACATTTTAAAACAAAATCTGCTTACAAAACGAGTCATACATACAAATGATGGGTTTCATTAAAGGAATGTTCTTATGCACCTAAACAAATAAATAAATTAGATTTTAAAGAGATAGATAGATAGAGGAATGGAGTGTCGAGCGGTGAGTAACTTGCTTTCTCAAAATGAAAGAGGAAAGATATTGTTAAAATTCGTCGTATGAAATGTATTTGAATCTGGTTGCGAAATGCATTTCTGGACAATGTATATGTGCGTGTGAGTGTGTGAATGTAAAAATGTTCTATCGATTGGATTTTATTGACAGGTCAATCGGTTTATCTTGCACGTAGAGGTTAATGCTCGTTGCCGACGGTGGTGACATTGTTGCGGTGGCAGGACTGGCGGTTGGCGGCATCATCATGCATACACCATACCTGCAACGAAATAAACGGAATTTATATTCGTAAATTGACTTCGAATTCCGAAATACTTTAAACTTATGATTCGAAACACTTCAGAAATGGAGTGGAAAAAACTGCTTCGAAAATTGAAAAAATTAAAAATATACATAAATTACGAAAAGGTAAAACTAAATGTGGTAAGAAGACTTAAAGAAACCAAAATATACTCAAATAAATGACGGTGAAAAGAATTTCAATAATGATTACTAACCAATCAATTACAAACTTATGAATCGCTAAAGAATTAAAATTCAATTTCACATAAAAATGTGAAACGATTTTTTCCCGTTCTTCTTCGTTTCTCAATTAATGAAATCGAATAAAATCGGAATGTTCATCGCGCTCTGTTTTATCGATTGGAATGCAAATGATTACAAAAAAAAGATGAAAAGAGAAAAAAAAAACGGTGGGAACTTACGATGACAGTAACTGCGACGTAATTGTTGATGTGGTTGAAAAGAATCGATTGTTGCTAAAGTGGAAATTCTTCTGACCGTTTAGGAAGAGGTGTTGTTGTGTTGTTGGACTAGAAATGGATGGCACTTAATTAGTCAAAGAAAATAATAAATATCGAAAAACAAATATAAATCACGTCGAATCGAAGTGTGACCTTCTTTTCTCGTATTATGGTCAAATTTATCAATAAATTAATGAAGGGGAGAGAGAGTGTGTGTGTGTTTTACCTGTAGCATCGAGATCGTGGGCGATTTTCGTCGGTGGTGGACGATGCGCCCGAATCGCTGGACGATTTCTTTCGTTTTCGTTGTGCTTTGAGCGCCAGTGCCATCGATGTGGAGAATAAAAAATTGGCGGCCGAATCATGGATGCGTTGATTCGATGACGGTGTTCCGGTATCACTGTGTCCGATCGATTCCGTTGGTTCGGTAAGTTTCGTGTCTGTCGTTGAGTTTTTTCTCTCGTGCTGTTCACTTTGCTGTTGCTATGAGTCGAAAAATGAAAAGAGAAGAAAATTGATATCGTTTCAGAAAAAACCTGCACAACACAAACTAAACCAAAAACAACAAAAAGAAACGGAGCAGTTCGATGACAGCTCTTGAAATTGAGAGATAGATGAGATTGAGACTGCGGGAGGCAGTTACGATGCCATACCTGTTGCTGTTGTTGTTGCTGCTGTTGCTCTTGCAGCAAGCAATGGATTTTAAACCAATTTGATCGACGTCCAAATCGAGAGCCACTTTTCGACATACCAACCAATAAACATTTACGCAAACGGCATGCCTTACATGACGTACGATTTTTTTTATTTATGATGCAATCGCGATTGTTTTTACATTCCGATATTGATGACAAATTGTTGTACGTGCGCCCGAAAAATGACTGCAAAAAAAGAGAGACACAAGAAGAGAGAAAAATGAGACATGGCATGGAAAAGAATGAAAAAAATTAGTATTTTATTGCAATACACGAAAATATCAGTTTTTAACGAATTAATTTGTGGTGTGCCGCGAACACAAAAATGTGCGCCACAGTTTTTTTTCCTTTCTTTTTTATATAAAATACTTTTCTTAGATGCAGAACCGAACAAAAAATCTTACACACATTTTTTCAATTATTTTGGGTAATGTTTTCTTTTCTCTGTCAATTCAAATAATGCTGAATGGAAATGTGGAAATTGAGCAATTGAACGCGATACCATGTGATATATTGGTCTCGCGCGGTAAGCGCACATTCTTCACCGACTGACATGCATTGATTCAGTTCTTGGCCATGTCGACGACAACATGTTATGAATGCGTTGTTCGAGTTGTGTGAGTATGTATTTGCTACACCCGAGTGTTTGTTTTTTTTTTTCTTTAAATTTCTGTACACGTTGACAAATAGCATCGAAGCTATTACCATTTCGATGCAGACGTCCGAAATCAGTATGCGCTTGCAACGACGGCGACGCTTGAAATGATTTATTGACTATTATTTTGCACCGAAAAAATGTTTCGCTTTGCGAGCGCGGGCGCGCGCACAATTGCAAATGAACTTTTTGATCAATGCACATCGTGTCGCGCGGCATGGAATGTATCTTTCCCTCCTGAATGTGATAAAATTCGTTCAACAAACAACTCTATTTAGTATGGACAATGACCAATCGAATATCGCTTGCCAACGTCTTTTCCCCCTGTCAATTACAAATTTTGCACCGATAAAAAAAACGACAGATTTTTTAGCTACACCAAAACTGACGCTTGAAATGCGTCAAACAAATGCATGTGAAATGATTTATTTGTTAAAATTTTTGGCTGATGATGCGAGACGCTCCTTTTTTCGTTGCACTACTCCAATCTTTTTCATGGTATGTGCGCGTCTTTTTCACATACTTTTTTCTCTGTCGCTTTTTTTCTGCACACGGCTGTCGATCGGTGCCTGTTTAACATTTTTATTGCATTATCGTTTTTACTGCTACTGTTGCGAGCTGCCGCTTCTGTTGACCTTCTTGCCGCTGTCATTTTGTCGACAATCGATCGAGCGAACGCATTTTTATTTTGGATACCAATTGCCATTGATCGCCCCGAAACTTTCTTACCAACGCTTCCGATATGTGTCGCTTGACAAATCAGCAGACAATTGCACGGCGAGAAAGAGAAGGACCGAATGAGTGAGAGCGAGACAGTGGTGGTGAGAGAAAGACAGAGATAGAGAGAGAGAGAGGGAAGAAGAAGAAGAAACAACTATTCAACGCCGACGATGAATGACAGTGATGCGTGATATAAATTAATGAGTGGCTTTTAGCGCACTATCACACTCATTTACAATTCCGAATGCAATGCGCCACAGCGCATATTAATAACTATAACATCCTAGCGGAGAGGTTTTTGCCGCGAACGAGTTTTTTTTTCCTTCGTTTGGAAATTGTGAAATAATTTGGTATTCTATTGATTTAAAATCAATTTTATTCGAATGAAATCGAGTTTTTGTGGCAGAAGACATAAATGCATAATTTGGAGAGAAATGTGATCCCTTTTTCTCCACAAAATTCACTTTTTCCCCAGTTTTAGACATTATAGGTTTGTGTTTTCAGTTTTGGATGGATGAATCCGTTAAAATCTCACCGATAAAAAACATACCCTTTGAGATGCGTCAAAGAGTTTTTGGTTTCATTCACAAGGAAAAACCAAAAAAAAATGTCTTTAGAAAAAAAATTCTTGTTAGTTTGGCGCCAACGAAAGTGATAACATTTCACTGTGTAAATCTTTGTGTTTCTTTCTTCTGCTTGTTTTCTCCTCAGCACTTCTTTCAATAAATGAATTTCAATTCCATTTCAAACGTAGCACATAGGGAAAAAAATCGCATGGTGCATATTTCAAATTTGATTGGTATTTCTTGTGACATGTGCCTTTAATGATGTATCAATAATAATGATTTGAGGTAGAAAAAGCGGTTGGTTCAATCATCATCGTTATCTTATCATAGCTCTAGCTATGTGTGGCTATGACTTGTGGTTAGTGAGTCGGTTGAGTTTGCAGTGCGCCAGATGCATTGGAATGGATGCATTCATTAAATTTAATGGCGTAAAATTATCGTATTATCACTTCATTTACTTCTAAAGTGTCATTAATCAATCAAATAGCCGTGTGCGACACACACATACATGCGGAACGGTGTGCACAAGCCCGAGCAAAAAGATTGAGTTGCATCGATAGCAGCCGCAGCAGCAGCAGACTCTATCGCAACTATAGCCGCTGGATCAGAATCACTGATTCGCCAAGATGAAAGATGTAAGCTAAATGACAAACAATAATCATTATCAATCGGTAATTGCAATGTAGCGATTAGCATCAAATCGAAACAATGAAAATTTATCACGATGCACGCAACTTTGATAAATGGTTACTTTCACAAGTTGTTGTAAGCGATTGTTGTTGTATTTTGCGTCGAGATGGCCAGTAATAATGAGAATCGGGTGATAAAAACCAACATCAGCGGCAACAACAGCTTGACTCATAAAATAAATAAGTGTCTTCGACATTTGATCGATTGGCAGCGACATTATCTCGTTTTCCAGATTGTTGATACACGGTGCGGATAAATGGGTGTACGCGCGCGTTCGCCTCATCTTCAACGATGTGAAGAAATTGGTTGAACACAAAACGCACGTGTTGGCAATCATGTAATGAGCCTTAATTATCCGATGGAGGGAAAAAAAACCTACACACGGAATTATAAATAAAATAGGCTAAACGCTTGTCATGGGCCAATTCTAATGTGTGCGTGCGCCCGCAGGGCGCACACGACAAATGACTACAGACCACCAATTTATCACCGCATTTCAGACTCAATCTTATTTTTTTGGTCTCGTCTTAAGTTCAGTCTGTTTTTTTTTGTGCTGCACTTTGCTGGTACATCGACAATTTGTCGTCAAACCGGTGCACTTGTTGCTTTCATTTGTATAAATCTGAACAACGCGCAACGCATATGGAAATGTGTAACATTTTTGTGTCGATTAATTGCGGATTGATCTATTTGTGTGGATAACATCTAAGCCCATTTAAGTCGACTGGTTCACTTTTTACCCTCTCTCATCGATGCTGCTGCTGCTGCTGGGCAAAAAGGCGCGTAAAATTGACTCAATTATGTAAGAGGTGTTCAATCATTTAATTTATGACCTATTATAGTCGGGCCACTTGTTATGGCCCGTACGTTTGTTTCGAATTCAATCTGCTCTCTCTCTCTCTCTCTCTCTCTCTCTCTCTCTCTCTCTCTCTCTCGAACACTCTCGAAATATACAAAATATTTGTTCAGGTCCCAAATGCATACCAAATTTGGTTACAATGTATATATCTCTCTCAAAGAGGCAAAACACAAAAACTGAACTCGATTCGTGAACAACAAAAAAATGAAAACGATGAATTCCATTGGTCTCCTTGAATTGCGTGATCCGAAAATGATACTTCCATTGTTTGGTCAATTAAGTGGTTCGTTGCTATGCTCTGCTGCTGCTGCTGCTGCTTTTTTCTCTTTTGGGAAATGATTGGCATTCTCACATGCAGAAAGAGAGTCTAAAGTGTATAGCGCGAGTTCGAGTGGTAATTAGCCAAAAATGAGCAGTCAATTTTTGATATCTCGCGCAAAAAGGTGATGTCGAACACTCAATCGACAAACTGTTCGCTGTAGTCTGCGTTCTTCTTCTTCTTTGTTTTCTCTTCGTTTTAATTTTCTTTTGAGAAAGCGATTAAATGCAGTACTTGCATGCCATTTCCAAAATTGTGTATCTGGATCACATTTTCAACCTTACATAAAGCATCGGCGACGAAATCCGACCGTAGAGAGGAGTAGAAGAACGGAATTCAGTGTCTCAATGGAAAACGCTCTTCATCGAGTTGGTGTCACATTAGCCACATAAGGATCTTTTCGTTAGCCAAAACCAGAGAAAACGCGCAAGCAATGAGCTAAACTCCTTACTTACTCAAAGCATGGCAAGAAGACGAAAGAAAGAAAAAAAATCGACTAAACTGACAAAGAGCAGTTGAAACAAGTAGAATGCTTCGAAGCTTAAATCCAATAAAAATTATGTGAATACGATATGGCACAAAAACGCGCATAATCAATGTCGCTGTGTCTGAATCGGGACGAAAATGCGCGTAGAAAAACAACGCGCACACGATGGAATAATTGTCACATTTTTTTATAATTTAGTAATTACTTTTGACCATGTCTAATGCAGTTGTACTTTTCGGTCTCTTGCCGATGGAATTTCTCCGTTTCCATTTATACACACGTTGTTGTGTGTTTGATGACGGGGTTTTTTGTTTCATTTCTACGTGTTCGCACATTTTATTCGCCAATATATTCCGCTGTGCGCTGTCGATTGCAACGACGAAACGAAATGAAAGAGAGATACAAGAAGAGAGTAGCAGAAAGATACAAACAGCCCAGCACACAGTAGACTCGAGAGTCCACGAGTGTAAGCTGTATCGAGAAATGAACGTATATGAACATTAATCGTGGTACACTCGTAATTCATATCTCGTTCGGGCCATTTATAGGCGAAATACGGTTGACCGGTTGGCTTTTGGGCTTGTTTCAAATTGATTCGGTGGTATTTTGGTTCGAGCGCGCGCGCACGAGAATGAAAAAAGTCAATGGAAAAGTATTGATTCGGCGACGCAAGTCAATCGATTCGATTTGTTTGAAAGAAGAAAAAATTACGGCCGAATAAATTGTGCGGTTATTTGGTTTCGGCGTTTTTTTTGTGCGGAAAGAAGCAAAAAATGTTACCTCTTTTTTGGATGGCAACACCTTCAAAACCACCAACCGAACCACAATCTGAAAATCGATTCATTTTGATATTTTGATTTGGAATTTATGGGAAATAAACGCATCTTCCT